CTTGATGCATTTAGGTGCTACTTTATCCATTTTTGTGCCTTTCACAGATAAGACACGTAGCCGGGGCAACCTTTGAATGGAAGGTTAGAGTTAATTATCTTTTTGAAATAAGAACCAGTGACAAATGTCAGGCTACTGGTGCATAAAAATAGTGAAAAGCCCTAGTTCCAACAAGAATGTGGCTGACATTGAATACATTATGGCCCAATTATGTTTCTTTTCAGAATGGCTTGGATGAGCAGATGGAAGCTGATTCCCAAGCCTGCAAGTTCGTCCATAAAATATTCGTTCTTTCATGAGCATGGCTTTGAGCAGTCCTATCTAAAGCAGGGGGAGGGGAGTGGCAAACTAGGGAATTTTTGAAATATTATTATCAAATGAGAAAGCAGAATTAGGATTTTATTATCATTATTGTTATCTTTTTAGTGAATAGCTTTGGGTGTTTGCTAACATGTACTACTAGAATAATATAGTCATAATTCACAATAAATGTATATACACCTATAAATGTATGTATATGTGTATTGTTAAAAAATGCGCACTAAGGAAACCATGATTAAACAAATTTGGGGACCACTGCTGTACAGGGATTTTGGTATTAGAAGTGTGTTTGAATGTTCTGGATAGATTTATGAACTGTTTCCCAATGAGTTACTAACCTTTAGTCTCTCTAGGGAAACAAAGAGGAAGAAGCAATTGACCCAGGTCCCAGCATTCCCACTGACTCACTGTTGACTAACTGTGTGGTCTGGAAGGATTTACTTCACTTTCATGAGCTGCATTCACTATGTGTAGAGGCTAGAGTAACACTAGCTTCTTGACAAAATAATTGTGAGCATTAAACAAACACTTTAAGCTTGCTTTTCTTTCAGATTTTTTGTATAAGGGTAGTGTTTTGAAGTGTGTGTTTTTAAATCATCCTCAAGGCCTGCCTCGATTTCTTCTCTGGTCCCCCTGGTCTCCCTTGGTCTCCTCTGGTTTCCTGTTTCTAAATTCTTACTCATTTTTGGTAATAATGGAGAACAACAAGGCAGGAACAGCAGGTACAAGTCTGAGCATTATTATTTACTGGCCATAAAGTGAATGGTCCGTAAACATTGATCAAGCACCTTTCTATTTATCCAACACATGCTGAACACTATCCATTCCTCATAGCATTCCAAAAAAGAGTTTGGGGATGTCTGTATTATTCACATCTAACACAGTAGAGTGGTGCTTCCAATAGAACTTTCTGTGGTGATGACAGAAACCTTCTTGATAAAAGCAGTCCACTGTGTATCTGGCCACCACACATTGCCACGAAGCACCTAAAGGTGACTACTATGATTAAGAGACTGAACTTTAAGTTTTACGTTATTATAAGTAACTTCAATGTAAGTGGTCACATGTAGCTATTGGCTGCTGTATTGGACAACACAATTCAAGGATGTACCATAAAACTCCAGGAAGAGGTTGAAAAAGAAAGAAATCAGAAATAAAATTGAATATCAAAATAGGAGAGTCCATGAATAAATAAGTGATAAACTTTGAAGAATTCCAGCAAAAAAGCAGAACAATGTGTATTACTAGAGAAAGAAGCCATGAACACATGCAGAACAACACTGCTATAAGGTGAGCAATACTCTGTCATTCATACTTGGAGTAAGTTGACATCTGAAGTGGAAGAGACTATAGGTAGCTACTGTAGTAGAAGAGACTGAGTAAGAAAATGGACCTGGATCCAGTAACCTTCACTTTACAGTGTGGCTGTAGGCTAGCAAGGCAGTCTGGGAAACTCTTCAGAAATTCAACGATGCCCAGAGTTGCTGGGGTCACCCATACCCAGAAGACAAGACATCACAGCAAATCCTCCCCCAGCGCTGTGTGCCATACCAGTCCCACAATCACCATAGCAAACTAAAATTAACCCAAAGATATATCCATCAAGTGATAAATTCAGTTTCTCCCTTGGACCTGCAAAGCTGCAAATTCTAATTTTTGGGGGATTATCTATTGTTATTTCTCAGTTTATATAAAATGAGTAGATTTCACATTTCTCATGATACAGATTTGAAAGAGTAGATGATCCTCCCACAGGACAATCACTAACCAAGAATCAAAATACATCTGAAAAACTAGCATCATAAAGTAGAAACATCAGAGCCAATAAACAAAATAACTAATATCTAAGAAAACTGAATTAACAGAACAGAGGACTTTCCTCAAATTAGTGCAATATACTCAGAGAGATCAAGATGAAATAGCAATAAATAAAGTAAGGAGAGACAATAAAAACTTAATATCATAAGAATCATAAATATAATTATAAAAATCAGTAGATGAGATGAGTAGCAGGAAGCACTTGGGTGAAATGTAAATTAGTTCTATATTAGATTAAGCTAAGGAATTATTCTTGAATAAACATTCTAACTTCTACTTGGAGTTGCAGCAGAAGGAAAAAGCAATAGATTAATGAAAGAAATACCAAAAGTGAAATTTCCAACACTAGAAAGATATACAAGGGAGTATTAAAATTGACATGATGTGTTAAACTCCAAGCAAAATGAAATTTAAAAGACCCAAACTGAAGAAATTATTATACAATTTAAGAGAAAACTTAAAAGTTTCTAAAGGAACCAAATGGAGTTAATTTTAAAAAATGTAAAAAAAGATTGGCATCAGAACTGTCATCTACAAATTTCTTCAAGGTTTTTGCCAAAAATTATTTTGAATCCATATTCCTAAATGTAGTCAAAGTAGCATGCAGGTAGATGACACAATTAACACTGTTAAAAGCTGAATTATGTGTCTGGACATTGATATGTGGAGGTCCTAACCCTCCACAACTGAGAATCAAACTGCATGCGGAGATAAGACCTGAATCGGAGTAATTAAGGTAAGATGAGGGCTTTGAGTAGGCCTTAATCCAAAATGATCTGTGTCTTAATATAAGAAAATTAGGACATAGTGCATTAAGAGAAGGTTCTGTGAGACACAGGGTGAAGACAGCTATCTTCAAATTAAGGAGAGAAGTGTCAAAAAACAACCCTAACAACCATCATGATATTGGACTTGTAGCTTCCAAATTATGAAAAATAAGTTTCTGTGGTTTAATCACTTGGTGACATTTGTTATAGCAGCTCTGGCAAGCTAATCCAATGACATTTTAAATTCTGTGACAATTTGGTAAATTTGGAACATTCTCTATCACACACAAACATACACACCCAGGATAAGAAATGTAAGATGCCAAAAGTAAACACAACATGGTAGCTGGAAGAAGAAAGCAGTACAGTTTACAATATTCTTTAAATAACCACTAATTCATAATGAACAGAGCTAATTGCAGTGTGATTCTAAAATCCTAGATTTTCTAAGTCTTGTTGCTGACAGGGATGTAAACGCAAACCCAGTGGGAAGAAGGCAAAGTGGTGATAGGGAAAGCATACTATACATTTCAAGCAATGAAGCTTCTCCTCTCTTAGATATTGATGCTCCATTTTAGATATCTATAGAAAAAGGTATTTTGATTTAAAAAAACTCACAAAATTTGGAAGGTCTATATTCTAGAAGACCTCCAAAGTTTTTTTCTATTTTCAACTTTCCAGTATACTCATCACATGTCCTGTTGAAAACACAAACCAAGGATCCTGCATATGAGGCTGTGTGTCATAGCCATGTCTGTGAAATTACCACACCCTTCTTGACAGTGAAACAGCTCATAATTCAATCAATTGCTTCCTGTGCATATAACTGAAGGGCTAATATGACTGATTAAAAGGGCTGGGTTTCATAGATGTCCTTGCTGGGCTCTGCTTATACTGAATCTCAGCATCCAGGTCAACACACAGAAAATTCTTGAGCCTGAGGAACTGATGAGGCAAAGTAAATGCCTCAGTTTACTAAGGCATAACATGAAGAATTTCTCTTTAAATCTCTGAACATCCTCTCAGCTATTCAATTGTATAATTCAGATTTTTTTAAAAGATTTATTTATTTATTGGAAAGTCAGATATACAGAAAGGAGCAGAGAAAGAGAGGAAGGTCTTCCATCCAATGATTCACTCCCCAGGTGAGCGTAATGGCCAATGCTATGCCTATCCGAAGCCAGGATTCAGGAACTTCTTCGGGGTCTCCCACACGGGTGCAGGGTCCCAAAGCCTTGGGCCGTCCTCGACTGCTTTCCCAGGCCACAAGCAGGGAGCTGGATGGGAAGCGGAGCTGCCGGGATTAGAACCGGCGCCGATATGGGATCCTGGCATGTTCAAGGCGAGGACTTTAGCTGCTAGGCCACGCCCCGGGGCCCCAATTCAGATGTTTTTATGATGTTTGCTCAAAGCCAAATTGTGCACATTCCAGACAAAGGGAAATCATGCCTCCAAGGAAAAAGTGATTCTACAGGAATGTTTGCAGACTTGTCATAAATGTGAGGACATGATGATACCTATGACACTCAGGGTTTCAAATTCTCAAATAAGGAAAAATGATGAAAACAGCAACTCAAAACTTTTAAAAGAAAACATTTTATCACAGCGTAGGTGGAGTGACAGGCCCCTGATGCCTGGCTGATCTTTTTTCACCTATCTCCTTTGAAGAGATCATTTGAGTACCATTTCAGACCCCCATCACTCTTATTTTTAGCTCTGAGTTCTCTTCACGAGTATAGCAACCTACGTCTTAGAGTTCCAGTGCTCCCAGATATGGCTCATGATTCACTTTCAGGTACATTCACGATGACTTCCAGGGACATCAGTGTGGTGGGGACCTGGTGAAACAAGTTTTGATACAAAATTCTGCGTTCTTGATCCCATCCCTGCTGTTTGACCAGAAAGTATATTCTCCACAAGTGTATTCCTTGGTGTCTAAGGGAATTGGCAACGAAAACAACCCAAGAGATATTGTTCTCCTAGAGCCTCCCAGCTGGCGTGAGGGGGAACAAAACTCAGGGCTTTGGTCACAGGCTATTTTCAGCTGCTGATAGCAGTTGTGTTACTCATGTCTCATTCACCCTCTCTCCTCAGGCCCCCTCCTGCCCTTCCCTCTCCAAGCCAAGGCTGATGACAGCCTCCATATATTTAAAGAGGACAAGAGCCCCTCTCAACTCAGTTGAGCTCGTAGAGGCCGTACAGGCAGGTAAGTGGAAAGAAGCAGGAATCGGGTCTGGGGGACATGCTGGTTGGGTGGTAGACTGGACGGAAAAAGGGTTCTAGAGAGGGAGAATCTGATTTCCATTCCAGTTACTACCATACACCTAGGTTGTATGCAAGGAGACTCAAGTCATACTTAGTTCTGGTGTGGAACTGGCACTTGTTAAATTTTTTTCTAAAAAAGATGATTAATATTTGGGGGGCTCAATAGAAAATGACAAAAGAATGAGTAAAAGATAATTTTTGGTCTAAAATTACTTTCATGGTGGTATAATATTTCTTGTTGTCTTAGTTGGGAGATAGCTGGAAAGTAGAAGAAAATACTCGAAAAGTTCGCTGAAGCAATAGTTGACAAACCTGCCTTCTACTGCTGAGACTACCACATACTAGTAGAGAAGTGACTCTGAGAAAGTTCCTGCCTCTTAGCTCTTCAGTCTTTTCTGCAAAGATCAGTCAACATGTGGTGACATTTTTCTAAACTGGAAAGGAGTGGATGGTTACACAGATGTTGTAATAGATGCAACATCATGAAGATAGCATTGCTCAAATTAGGAGGAACTGTACTATTCAGAAGGTGTGGGTGAGATTGTATACCCCAAAGATATTCAGCAACAGAGTTTCTTTGAGTTATTCAGAGTTAACTAAGCTTGGACTAAAAAAAAAAATTGGTAGGATTTCCTTAAAAATCCATTCAAAGCTCTATTTAATGATAGGTTCATTCCCAGTTGGGTTTGGGGTAAATTCCAGTATATCCTGTAGCTTTCAGATATTTCTTAAATATCTCAGTGATTATCAAATGAACACAGGATTGAGATAGAGAAGGTATTTTAAGTAATGATCTGACTGCAAATGCTGCTAAAAGATCAAAGCTGCCACCTCTAATTTTTGCTCTGTCCCTGAACCAGGGTGGTGACTCTTCCAAGTGGGAGGAGCCAGATGACCAGTCCAAGGAAACTTGTCTCTCTGTGATCCAATTTAATGCACATTAATGTATATGTATTAGCCATCAGCTGTGTTGGTCCAGGGTGAGGTAGGGGGTTAAACTCTTTTGGGTGAGGTAGGCATGAATAGCGAGAAGGACCAGGAAATGGGGTGGTTTGCATCCTCAGCCTATGGTGAGGACTGAGTCTCAATTGTGTGTTCATAGACTTTATCACAATGTATGTGAAACAGACCTTTAACCCCCCCCCAAATATCTTCTGGCTTGGTTTTGACTCCATTCCAAACAACTCAGTTACTTGTGCTTGTTGGAAATGAGTCCTAGTTTTTGGGCAGGAGATGCAGAACCAGGCACAGGCATTCTAGAGAGCCAGAGGAAATGGGGGAGGAGAGGGGAGTGGGGGGAAGGATGGGAATGGGTGGGGAAAGTGAGGAGCAGCATTCAAAATGGCAAGTAGCCAAAAATCCTCTTGGAGGAAATGGATGTAGAAGCTTGTAGAATACATATTAGGGAACCCTTGGAACTCAGAAGGAAAAAGTAGCCACAGTACAGGCTGAGTTCTGATCCCAGTTCTGAATACTCCTTAACTTCTTTGAGTATGATTTGGACACCTGTTCCAAAGGGATTTGTGAGGACTGAAAGAGATAATGGGGAGAAATGGGCCTGGAAAATTTAATACGACTATTAAAATATGCAAGACCTTTGAGAAAAGGCATTGGGTTATACTCAATGGTTTGTGCAATGGTTTCTTGCTATACAGGGTGAGGCTAAAAGTCCAAAGTGAATAATGAGCTGGTCAGGAGTTAGAAGATTAATTTGTTTTACAAGCAATAGGACACAAGAGTAGGAACATGATACCCAGGAAATACTACTCCTGGAGGACTTCCAGTTACTAGCCTGGAGCTCAGATGTCTGGAAATACTGCATCAAGGGGCGGGCTTCATAGTCGAAGAGAAATGTGATGCTGGGAAATGTGAAAAACTACAATTATTCACACTGGAGAAGGAAAACAGAACAGTGAACAATAACAGTCTTGATTCCTACAGGCAATAGAAGCTTTTTGAGAGCATCACTATGCATCTTGTCCTGGGAAAGAGTTGACCATGACTCAGTAATTTCTTACCATTCCTGCAAGTGCAAAACAAGTGTTAGTTTATTTAATTGGCACAAAAGTCCTATAAAAAGTCATCCTTCAGAGGAAAAAACTGAAGTTGGAAGCAGCACAGTTATCACTAGGGTCACAAGTCTAGAAGGTGGCTGAGCCAAGAGGTAAACTGGGGTACCACGTGATCTATAAAAATAAAGCATGAAGCTCAAAATAGAACAAAGGACAAGTTTCCGAAGGTACAAGTTGGCCACACTTCAGACATTTCAGAAAAAGCATTAAATGATCACGTGGTAGAGCCTCAATTTAACAGGTGTGTCTATCCTGTCTGAATTTTAAAGTCATGAGAGCCAACACTGGAGTCTATTTACTTACGGGGAGTAAGCAGGCTACAGCTCTCAGACTTTACATAAGGGCCCCCTGTTGCGAACTTCATTTTTATACATGGGTGGAGAAGCTTAGGAAGAAGCAATTGGCCTTGGCCAGGAGTTGGAGGACATGACCTCCCCTGATCCTCACAGGTTACTTGTAAGGCTACTTCTTTTTCAAGCCCAGATGCTCAGCAAGAAGAGCCTGCCTAATCAGGACTGCCAAAGAGAGAAGTCCTGATTCCAAGGTTTAGGGCCTTGTCTCACATGTAGTCAGTATCACCAGGCACCCTAATCCAACCCAACTCCCTTGTGGACCTCATTTCTTGGGTGTGGCCCTTTCTCTCCAAAAGTTGAGGAACAGAGCTGGTTCATAGGCTGAAGCAACCCACCAGGAATAAAGAGCTGGGAGAAATTAGCTTGTTCTAAAAAACACGTTTGAAATTTAGGGGAAAAATAACAATAACAATAGAGGCAACTAAATTATTAAATACCCTCTGTATATTAAGCATTGGAATTTTGTATCTTAGCTATTGTTATTTCATTCAAGTTTAAAATAGGATTTGTAGACTAATCTTCTCATCCTGTCTCTACATGCGCACAGATACTGGGCTTAGGCAATTGAGCAACTTGTCTTAAGTGTAGAGGAGCTAATGCACTAGCCTGCAAAGAAATGGATGGATTATAACTATGAATAGTAGCTAACATTAAAGTAAAAATGCAATTTTGGGATCAGAGAGATGTAAATTCTGATCTTCCCATGTGAAGTTTAACAGGAAGTGTCTAGGGCAACTGATGTGATGACAAGCTCCATTTCTATCATTTGAAAAATATTTGTATTAAGAGCACTTGCCTTGGAAGGGTTGTTGTGAAGATAAAATGAGATTTGCCACAGTGTCTGGCTCAAGGGCTTAGCTCCAGGCATGTGAGCTTCAATTATGTGAGCACCAGGATTATGTCAGTAATGGTTAGAATACTCATTGAGACCCCATGTACGGGTTCCTATGTCCAGAACCCTTACCTAAGCTCATGTCAACCACTGCATTCACTATGTGGAGTCTGCATTTTTTAGAATGATTGAGATGAAAACACTGTTGTGATGTTGCATGAGGTCTGTAAGCAAAGTTATGGCTTACGATTTCCTCCCAGGTATTTCTGTGGGCCCCCTACAAAGAAAGAAAGAAACTTTCTGTTTTATGTATTCTACCCCCTTGTGCCCTGAGAAGAAGAAAAAGGAAGAGAAGGAGGATGAAAAAAAAAAAAAGAGAGAAAGGAGAAATAGAAGAAACAAAGGAAAGAAGGGAGAGAAAATGAAAGGATTTATACTAAATTGGGAAGAACATACTGCCAAAGATTTGTATTTTGGCTATTTTAAATATTTGGATGAGGGTCAGCATGATGGTTTAATTGACTAATCCTCTGCCTGCAACTGTAGGCATCTGATATGGGCACCAGTTCATGTCCTGGCTGCTCCACTTCCCATCCAGCTCCCTGCTTCTGACCTGGGAAAGCAGCAGAGGATGGCCCAAGGCTTTGGGACCCTGCACCCGTGTGGGATACCCCGAAGAAGTTCCTGAATCCTGGCTTCGGATGGGCTCAGCTTTCGCCATTGTGGCTTCTTGGGGAGTTAAGTGGTGGATAGAAGATCTTTCTGACTCCCCTTCTCTGTAAATCTGCCTTTCCAATAGAAATAAATAAATCTTTAAAAAGACAAGCTTTTGGATTAATGTGGGAACATTCAGAACCATGGTAGAGCTAATTAACTGTATTTTTCAGACAGTATTCTTCAGTTCAGAGATTTGACTGTACTTGAACTGATTTGCATTTTTACCTACAGTGAGATTGAAAAGACTATTACCCTCTTTTTAGAGAGGATACTCAAATTTATATGGAGAATAGTTTGCTCAGATCACACAGCTTTGAAGAGATAAGAAGAAACTAAAAATCCCAACTTCCTGTGTCTGACCCAACAATTTTCACACCCACCATAGCACATTCCTAGTGTAAAATCTCCCTTACCACTACTCCTTAAGAGGTCTACATGGAGTGGTCAGTCTCCCTCTCTCTTTCTCTCTCTCTCTTTCTCTCTTTCTCTGATTGACCTAAATCTGGGGTTCCATCTCTCCCAAGTGACATGGTGAGGTCCTATGTTATAGTCCAGCCTCAAAGATTCCAGCTCATTTCCTGCTTCTATCCTATCTCACAACTTGCCTGTCACAACACAGGCATCTCATGGATCAGTCCAGAGAGTATTGCCATGTGGTGTGATGCAGATGGTGACCCAGGTGATAAATGGGGTTAAGTGATGGGTAAATCTAAATTTGGAGTCCCCACCTTCACTGGCCCTTGCTAGTACCAGGCAACGTTGATAAACAAATGGCCCATCTCTTGGGACCTTGCCAGGGCAAACTTGCATTCCCAGCCTGGCTAGAGGAGTGTTGAGACACAGGAATTCCAGGGTAATCCAGGAGGCAGAAAAGGTTATGTAAGGAAGCCAAGACCTAAATGCACTTTCAATCATAGTGACTTAATTAGCACAATGGTGCTATTTGAACAATCTGAAATCAAATGGATATGAAAGGTGCGTCTTCAGAAAGCTTTACAAAACCAGTTTAAATTGATCATATTTCCATAACCTTTGCAGTAGTCTTAGGAGACACTATTGTTACCAGTTTTTGTTTATACAAGTTGAAGGTCATATAGCTAAGATTAGAATTCAAGTCTTGGGATTCAAGGTATATTAGATACCCCCTGCCTTGGCCTTGTATTTGAAGAAGGGATGTTTTCTGTGTTTAGCTTCCACAATTACATTCCTAGCTTTAGAAATAGAACTGAGCATCTGTTAATAGAGTACTTAAGAATTTCTATTTTGAATTTCCTGTTTTGATATATGTATGTCAGATATTTATGATCGCTTAAAAACAACTTGTGCTAAAATACATTAGCTTGTGAAGATGGTAATTCTGTAATCTTGCCTGCATTTAAAAAGTATCTTGTGTTGGCATTGCTGGGAAAAATACATACCCTCCCTAAGACATTCCCATCTCCTATTAACCTATAGAACCTGACAATGAAAGCTCCACTGAAGATTTCAAATGAGAACTTTGACCTAGGGTAGTTTTCATTGAAAATTTTCACATCATAAGTTTCAGTAGTCTCACTGTCACACTCTTGGATGAAATCTGTTACATTTCACCTGTACTTCATGTTATTTTGAAACTCATGATCAAAATGGATATCTGCAGAATTAGGTGATGCCACCCTTATTTAGAAAATGTATTATCTGTAATGAGAGAGTGATGGATCATAGAAAAAGAAGCTAAGAAATAGCACTACGTTTCTACTTTTTATGTGACTCCTTGGTTGTAAATGAGGCAGTCATGCAACCTTAAACATCTATTCCAACACTCACATTCTAGAGTTTAAATTGATTCTAAAGTAAACAGCATGAGCTCTTTGGGGAAAAATATCAAGGTTTCTATGCCTATGTGTTCTTTTCTGTGCTTGCAATGTCCTTACTCCTTTTATCCACATGGTGAACTCCTAGGTACCCTTTAAAACCTGAGTCTTTTGTGACTCCAAAGACTGATGGCTTTTATTCCAGTTTAAATGGGGCTAGTCATTCTCACACTGAAGTTGCCTTGGCACTTCTTTGAAGACTGTTCTGTGGTTCAAAGAATTCAGGTCCCTGCTTTACTATAATGGGGGCTTCTCAATGACAAGGCACACACATTTCTTATTTTTATGTTCCCTCACCCTTAATTCCTGAGACACAATAAGTAGAGAATGTATGATAAGTGAATGAATAACCAATGAATGTGGGCTATCAACACATCCAACTCAAAAATTCATGACGCTTACCAGTATAATAAATATCTTAAACTGTAGAAGTCAATTCACTCAATATTTTCTTCAAGAAATATTTTCTGGGGCCAGGCATGATGGTTCTGTGGCTAAATCCTTTTCTTGCAAGTGCTAGGATCCCACAGAGGCGCCAGTTCATGTCCTGGCGGCCCCACTTCCTATTCAGCTCCCTGCTTGTGGCCTGGGAAAGCACTGGAAGACGACCCAAAGCCTTGGGACCCTGTGCCTGTGTGGGAGACCTGGAGGAAGTTCCTGGCTCCTGGATTTAGATCTGCTCAGTTCCATTTGGAATGCCATTGCAGGCATTTGGGGAATGAATGTGTGGATGGAAGATCTTTTTCTCTGTCTCTCCTTCTCTCAGTAGATCTGCCTTTTATGCTAAAAATAAATTTTAAAAAAATTTCTGAAATTTTACTGATTAAAAAAACTGGCTTCCATGAGAGAAGAGAGTAGCATGTTCCTGACCAACCTTATAGATCTGGCAGTTTTTCTAAGCAAGAAAAGCTCTTTGTGAGTATATTTAGGTAGGAACATTTCTATCAGCTCCAGTATCAGGTTCAGTGGTCTGTTTGCTATTTACTTTCTGTTTCTTAGCAAAAACTGTTTTGAGATGAGACTGGATTACAACTAGAGCAGTTGGCCCAAGAGGGCTTAGAGTTAATCGTCAACTATTCCAAGGTGACTGGCTTCCCAGAAGAGAAGATGATCAGAAGCAGCCACTTGGAATGTCCTGATAGTAAGTGCTTGGTGTCACTGACAATAATGACACAGCAGCCTTCTTCAGAAACCACAGTATCCTACTGTAAAATTCAGCATTCTTGGGTGGTTGACAGGATTTCAGAAATTTTATTGAATATTCATGGTTTATTTCAGGTCTTCTTTGGGAAAACAGGAAATCTGAACACACACAGAAAGAAACACACACAGAAAGAAAATTTTCATTTTTAATCCTCTTCTTTGATGACTATCCCTGAAGTATAATCCTGTGTGGAGGGGATGGTGATAGCCCTAGGCTGTGCTGGCAGTTCCTTGCTGTAGTTCCTTACTGTAGAATAGAGAAGGACATATAAGTACTGTCATCTGGTTCCTGTCTATTATGAATGCTGTCAAGTCCCCTCCTGAACATCATGCCATTTGGTTTTCTAAACAATGGCAAGGAGAAGTACTAGTGTTTTTGTTGAATAGGTGGGAAAACAAATGCCAAGAGAAGTTATGTAGTTTATTTTGATACATGGAGCAAGTTGAAGGTAACTCTGAAAGTGGATGGCAGGGTTTTAGTCTAGACCTGGTATAGTACCAATATACACCTATTGCCTAGGTATAGATACTTTTAAACAGACATGCATGGCATAAGGAACAAATCTGAATAGGAGATTTTTATATATCATATAGCTGTTATCTACAAGGTAAGCGAAGGTGTTGTTATCCAGACTAATCTTTTAGCACAAGCATCTCCATTGCCTGAAATCATCCAGAAAAGCAAAATATTCTGCCTTTTCAAGATTTCTAAACCAGAATCTGTACCTAACAAGAGTTGAGGTGATTCCAGGAGCATTAAGCTAGATAAGAAGACAACACCATTTGATAAGCAATGCCTTCTTTTGATGGAATAATTTTTTAAACCTAATATGGAAAATAATTATATAAGCTAGTCACCAAAAAGACAAATAGCGTGTTTCCCTAATTTGCAGCTAAAATACAGAGTACAAAAAATATAATCTGAATTAGTGAAAATTTTGAGATTTAATTATTGCTTAAAGCCTTATCTATATGCTCTTCAAGGAGGGTTGCACCTGTGATTATGAACTGCAAGTATGTCATTGTAATAATTTTTAAAAAGTAAAGTAGAGAGCAGGGCAATTAGAAGTATGGGTGGCAGAGAGGGTAGAGTGGGAAGTATCATACACTTCTAAATCTGTATGTGTAAAACACATGAAATTTGCTCGCGGTACATAAATAAGAAAAGGATAGAAAAAGCTCAGATGGAAAATTAACTATACTTAATATTTGTACTTGTATATACATAAAATTATCCCACCCATTCCTTCTAACAGTCCTTTGGAACATATAACAGCAATGCAATTGAAATGTCACAAAAGAGGAAATGGAGTCCCAAAGTGGTACCTGAGTGTCTGAGCTTACTTAGTAACTCACTTGGGTATGATAGCTCACTGATGAGTGAATGAGTGAGTGAGTGAACTACCAAACTGGTTGGAGTCTGTTCTTCAGATCACTGTATTGCTACAAATTCATCCATTCGTGGACTATTTAAATTTATAGTATTTTCTTTACATCCTGTTAGACTTGACCTTGGTCAAACGTCTCCAAGATGCCAAACTTGGGTGGAGGAGCGAAATGTGGAGCCTGTGAGAAGACTGTCTACCACGCGGAGGAAATTCAGTGCAATGGAAGGAGTTTCCACAAGACCTGCTTCCACTGCAGTGAGTTGGGGGAGCATCATAGGTGGGGATGAGGACTCAGCACCACAGGAGATTTTGAGGTTCACATTTAATCAGAGATACTGCTGCCAGTGCTTCTCTGGCTGTACTCTAGCAGTTGGGAGTAGAGCTAGGGAGACTTCGTAGATGTAAACTGTTTGAGTCCCACGGAAGAAGTGATACTCTATCGAGTACCTTTTTTATATCATCTGCCCGGCTCAGAGGCCATTCCCCTGCTGCCTCAAATCAGGGCAAGCTGGTTTGTCACTGCACTCTCTGCTGAAAGGCGTGACCTAGTGGCGACATTTACAAAGTGTGACTTGGCTGAGAGGAGACGCCAGCACTTATCTGGAGCCAGGGTGGATTTGGCTCCCACTGCTTCCCTAACTAGCCAGCTGTCCCCAAAGCCAGCTGTGGCTGATCTTTCCTAAGAGAGGTCCTATGTCAGGCAGGGAAAAATGTGCCAGTTCTGACAGAGTCAGAAAGAATTGTGCATAGAGCCTGTGAATTTTTACCATCCCTGCCCAACATTTATTCACAAATGTCAAAACTGAGATTACCATCTTTCATCTCTAAGCCCAGGTTGTGTGCATTTGTAGCACAGCCTGGAATAGAACCTGTATGTTCAGACTCCCATGTCAGTGAGTGCTCTTTATCATAACTTCATTGGGCAGGGTTTCCTAATAGCCAGCTCCCTTTGGAGAAAAATTGGTTGTGGCTTTGAAATGGCAATTTCGTTTTTAACCTCTAGCATGTCTGGGTTAGGGGCCAGCTTTGCTCGATATTTTGCCTTCTTCCTTCCTGCCTAATCCCTCATCCCGCCTTCTTCCTTCCTGCCTAGTCCTTCATCCCGCCTTCTTCCTTCCTGCCTAGTTCCTCACCCCATCTGATTTTACCCCTACACCACCACAGCCCAGTGGCTGGAAGCCATACACACAAAATGGTTTCAAAGAGAATATCAAAATCTGAACTCCATCTATTAGTCAGAGAGGCACTGCAGCCTTAGGCCACCAGAAATAGTCTTGTCTTACCAGCTGCAGGAGTTTTCATTAACCCTTACTTCCCATAGCTAACATTAACACTGGAGAACTAGGCAGTGGTGAGGTGGGAGAGGCATTGCTCTGAGCGATTGGCTTGATGAACTTACCAATACTTAAATTTTAATTATGTGTAATTATCTTCAAGTAATCTTATACATACCTCAGATTCATCATTATTACAATGATCTAGAATTAATTGCTCAAGATAATTCATTCCATAACTCTCTGGCTTTTGTCCAAATATGGCCAGCATTCTTTAGAAAGAGCCCAAGTGAGGAATAGTGGGAAGACCACAAACTGGATTTAAAAAGGTCTAGGGGTTGAATTTGACCTCTGTCATGTACTAACTGCACAACATACAAATCATTTCACCGTGGTGAGACTCAATTTCTCCATCTAGAAATTGGAGATGAGCCTTCCTATTGCATAGGCAATACAAGGAGGAAATTATGTCTGGATCTGGAAGTTTAGCCTTCTAGGTTTTCATTATCTTTTGATTAACTTTGATCACTGAGAGGAGACAGGAAATGGTAAGGAAGTTTTCATGGTATAGGATTGTCTTGTCTTTCCTAGTAAGCAGGAAGAGACCCTGCTCAATAGAGCCATGGCTTGAGGCATTTGAGCATTTGCTACATCCCTTTAATATTTGATTAGAGCTTGCAGGTGAGATAGAGACAAAATGAAATTTCTACATTATCTATATTTCTATATTTCTTCTATATTATACTTCTATATTTCTATATTATAATAGTACAATTTCTATATTATTATCATATGAATTATTCTTCCTTCAGGCGTCCCTGAACTTCCTGGAAATACAGTTGAGAAAGGCAAGGTCTGCCTCAGCTTGCCTCCTGTCCCAAGCTCCCCTGACTTCTAGACAAATCTCCATAGTTAGCTTCCACACAAATCCTCTACACAAACACTGTCTAAAAGAAAAACAAGGGAAGCCATATGTATAACTTTGAAGTTTCTTGTGACCATAGTTTTAAAGGCATGAAAGTAAGAAGTGACATTAATTGTAAAGCATTTTACTTAAACCAATGTATCCAAAATCTTATAATTTTAAAGTATAATCAATATATGAATTATTAATGGGATGTGTTATATTTCTTTGGTGTCTGCACTGTTGGAAATCAGGAGCACATTTTGCCCTTGTAGTACTCCTGGCACTAGTGGGTTGGTATTGGTTAGGAGTTACAGGATCCAAGGCCAACTATGGATCTGCAAACTATTCTCACTGGGGAGATATCACTGATTTTCACCGGAACATGTATTCATTTACTCATTCATTTACTCACTCGTCTAATTAAGAAATTGTTTATAGGAGATGAACTGGCCCAGGTGTTGTGTGTTCTAGGGATACTAACCTCAAATAGCCTTGTCCTTAAGGAACTCCAAGTGGAGACCTTCACCAGGCTTGTAAGCAGTTCTTTCAGAGGGTGGTAATGGGCAGCACTGGGAGGCAGACGCCGCACAGATCTTCAGTGCTGCAATGTCTAGCATCGTCCCCACTGAAATCACGCTTTGCAAAGGAGATGGCCCTTGTGTTCAAAGCTTCCTGCAGTCTCTCACACTGCAGGGCATTCATGCAATCAGTTCGCTCCATAAAACTTTTTTTTCACAAAAATGTTTTAACACAGAAAATATTGACAGAACAGTTGAACTAACTCTCATATCCCTACCTCCTCAGCCCCACAACCATCACCCCTGACCTATTCTACCTCTTATACAACTTTATCTTCCTTCTCCACTTTGCATTTTAACATATTTCCTCTGTGGTATTTTAATAACAAAACACCATTTGAAGAAAGTATATTAGCCCCAACAATATGGGACTAGTTGTTAAAAGAGACAAATAAATGTCCGTGTATTATTCTGGAATAATAATAACAACAAAACAATAATAATAATGATATAACTTCACCAGCACTGTCATCAGAAGTCCTAAACATCATTATTGTAAAGCAAACAGCAAATATTAAGTTGTGGAAATCCTATGCATTTTTTTGAAGTTGCCCTAATTTATGCAGTTATTTCATGTTAAGTTACAACTTTCATGGGACAGCCTTCCATTTAGGTACAGAATAGGGCTGTGTCCCAAATGGTGCAAATGGAAGTGGAAGCGGAAGTGAGCTGCAATGGAATGCTGGTTCTCTTGTCTTCAAAATGGATGATGAGGAAGAGGCTGATGTGGAAGTTGTGGTAAAGGAACAACAAATAATTGTTCCCTGATTTTGTGTGAAATTGGGAAGAAGTAGCATTTTTAAATATTAAATAGCATAAGAAGACCTAACACTTTCATCTACTCCTTTACAGTTCTTCCATAAAAGAGATCTACTAATCTCTTTGGAAAAGTGGGGGATAGATGTTTTTGCATTTGGGGGTATTTGTTTTAGATAATAATATACACTGGCTAGGGTACTTGAACCGCAGCAGCCTAGGGAGTCCACGAGCCAAGACTGCCCCCTTGGCTGTCTCCCTTTTTAAAACTTGACACAAATTAGGGCCCAGAACGGTGGTCTAGTGGCTAAAGTCCTCGCCTTGAACATGCCAGGATCCCGTGTGGGAGACCTGGAGGAGGTTCCTGGCTCCTGGCTCTGGGTTGGCACAGCACCGGCCATTGCAGTCACTTGGGGAGGGAATCATCAGACAGAAGATCTTCCTCTCTGTCTCTCCTCGTCTCTGTATATCCAACTTTGTAATAAAAATATATAAATCTTTATATATATATAAATAATATATGTATATTTATATATATTAAAAATATATATATTTATATATATATATAAAACTTGACACAAATTAGCTTCAGTGGCATTGTCTGTAATTACCACAGTGCTCTACAAAAACCATGATGAGCAGAAACTGCCCAGTCTTGATTCCTATGCTGATGAAGTATGCCCCTCTCTTGCCTCATCAGCTCTTTGTCCTGGCCACCTCAGAACTGCTTTGGGATCTGTGCCTCAAGACAGATGAACTGGTTAAGAAAGCTGTGTTCTTGAGCCAGAGGCTCCATGTGCTGATCTCGGCCCAGGCACAGTGTTGTGGGTACAGGTTTGGGAGAATGATCTCAGCCTCATCTCCTTGCTTTCTTTTCCCTGACAGTGGCCTGCAGGAAGGCTCTCGACAGCACCACAGTGGCAGCTCATGAGTCGGAGATATACTGTAAGGTCTGCTATGGGCGCAGGTATGGGCCCAAGGGGATTGGGTATGGACAAGGAGCTGGCTGCCTCAGCACAGACACAGGCGAGCACCTCGGCCTCCAGTTCCAACAGTGAGTAAATGCCTGCTTCCTCCCTCCCTGCTAGTCTCTGATTATACGGACAGTTCATTTTGTTCCCATAGCAACATTTTGTGGAAGGGGGAGAATGGACTCTATTGTTGACTTTTCAACAATGGAAATCCTCAAAGTGACCAAGCATTAACAACGTGCTATCTCTCCAAAGACTCTCTTTAAATTATCTGCCTTTCTAAAGGCCAATTACTTTTACATCATGGCTCTTGGTTTGCATGTCAAGAGAAAACCTGGAATATACAGATGTTCCATTGTTTGACCCTTGAAAAACTACACGGTGTCTCTTTTCTTCTCCTTTGAGAGTTTCCGTGTAAATCACATAAATATGGCAGTGAGGTGATGGCCATTCTCTGTGCGCTTGTCAAGAATACATTTTTCCCTTGGGTTTTAAAATGACTAATGTCTTTCTTGCAAAAGGGATGGGTCTGCAGGGATGAGCTGAGCCTAAGCAGCAAACAACAAATTACAGCCATTCTGTGGGTTTTGCCCAGCTGCTTGTTGCCAATGAAGAGCCAGGGTTCCTCCATCACTTGCCCAGGGAAGCTGTGATATCACATTGGTCACCTTCATCTGCTCCCCCGGTGCCCACAATCTTGATGACCACATTGACCTTTAGCCTGGAACTGAGAATAGATAATTTGACCAGCATTGACTGCAGCTAGCATCCAGCCAGCTCATTCCAAGATGTGCTTCTGTAATGGGACTAGCCAGGAAGCCAAGCCCCACTGAGGAAGTGTCCCCTGCAAGGCATCCCCCAGGGAGAAATCAGATCATCTTGGAGTCTTGTCCCTTCAGGAGAGAGTAACCCAAGGCACAAGCTGGAAACGTGGAAGGACACGTGATCAGTTAGCGTCTGGAGAGAATTTGTCCCTGATAATTTCTTTTTTTTTTATATGCTTTTTTTTTTTTATGTTTTCCATATTGTTACCTTCATGTTTAAAAGGGGGGTATTAAGGGAGAAGGCCCACCCAATTTCCCACCCTCCCCAAGTCCCGGGTGTAGGGCATGCTCTGAGGTTCTTGCTCAAGTGGTTTTGATATTGGAACAGTTATGAATCGCTGTCAATCTTGCCACTCCAAGCACTATGAGGTCTTTGAAAAATCCACTGATTGACATAGTCCATCATAGCTGAGATGGTTGGTTGACCCGTTCTGTCTTCTCTCTTTTCTTCGTTAGGGTTCTGAGTCCAGCATTTAGATTAGGAAGATCTCCAAAGAAACTTCTTGTATGTGCTAACAAGTACAGGGCCAGGCACCGTCCATCGCTCCAATCAGCTGGTGGTTGTAATTGCTGGGTTGGTTCTGTTTTCACTCCCGAAATCCACTGGAACCAATGGGTGTTGCGGTCCAGCCTGGTTCTGCCCTGCACATACTTGGCCCTCACCTAAACCAGTGGGAGCTGCAGCCTAGTTGGAGCGACCCACAATAACCCCCACCAGGACCGCCCCTACCCTGGTTTGCCAGTAAGTGTAGCAGTAATCCAGTCTGTCCCACAACCCATTCCACCCCAGCCGCTGTTTAGTTTTATGTCCTCCCGTGGAAGTGGTAACCCAAGAGGGATGAGCCCACTATTACCCTCCCAGGCCTCTCCCACTCCCAGATTCCAGTTGATGCTGCCCAAACAAACCTCGCCCACTTTAATTCTGTTTGCACCAGTAGGAATAATCCGCCCAGCCCGGCTTTTCCCTGATCTAGTCCACATGAAGCGCACAGGTGTGGTAGCCCTGCCTAGTCTGGTCTGCCCCCATCCCAGCCCATGCTCTCCTGCGGAAGTAGCTATCCTGCAAAGGAACCCTCCCTTATTCCCCTGCTGGCTCTGCCTACTTCCTTTCTTGTTCTCAGGCTGGTTGGATGCTGCGGTCCCCTCTGGTACAGGCAACCTCACCTCGGCATTCCATATTGTGCACTAGTCTTTGTTGCGACCGAACCTGGGTCGACCCACACTGGTGCCTGGATTTGCCAGTGGATGACGTGGACAGATTCAGCCTGGTCTTGCCCCCATGTCTGCCAAGTGTATGCCAGTGGGTAGCTTTCCATGGCCTTTTCTGGGCTGTTTCCTATCATGTTTCTTGCGCTGACCTGCCGGGTCTGTGTCCTGCCAGAGGAGTTGCCCAGGCTCCTCCATCAGAACCTCTCCCAATGCCAGGTTACACGCTTACCAGTGGGTCCATGAGCCAACCCTACTCAGACCACCTCCTGTCATAGCAGGAACTGTGGCTTTTCCTGACTGGCCTTCCACCCAATCTGGTTCTTGCTGTTGGATGTTCCAGCCCAGCCATGGTTTGTCCATACCTACGTATGGCTCACACATGGCTCAGTAGGGGTTTGAGACCTTGCCTAGTCTATCACACATCTGCCCTGGTCCTCCAGAACACCATGGGGAGTCGGGGTCCAGCCCGGTTCGGTGCATCCGATCCCAGTCCACACTTGTACCAAGGGAGACTACAACTGTATCCAGATCAGAACGCAGCCCCCCTTCCAGGCCACGCGCCTCTTTGTGGGAACCTCAGCCCAGCTAGGGTTGTCCCCTTTGCTCCCCAATTGGGTCTGTTCCCAGCCATAGATCACTCGCATGCCAGTGGTGGCTCTGACTCAGCTTGGCACAGCTCCTCACCCGTCCCGACCTCTGCCTTAGACTGTGGCTTCGTGTCCCTGGCTCCCGCAGACCAGTAGGTACAAGAGCCTAGCTTGGAATGACCTTTGCTCCCTCATGGTTTCTAGTTTTACTTGTGGGCTAAGGTTTGCTCATTCGTACCAGATCTACTCTGTTCCCTACCAGTTGACACATTAGCCAGCCGTTGGAGCTACTTTTGCAGGACAAGCCCCAAGCCCAGGCTTCTGCATGGACTGGTATTTGGTGCCCAGCATTATTAGTGATTACAAGTTTTACAAAAGAAGAGTTACTGCCTGTTTCAGGTCCGAGAATCACAATGGGTTCAACCTGGAGCTAATTAAGCAGCGACTCAAAGAACCAAATACCCAGAGCTCCCCAGCCGGGTGGCCAGCAGGTGGAGTCTGGCACCAATGGCACACTGGCCGCCCGGGAACAGCTCACCATGTGCCCATGGCGGCCGTCCGGGATCCAGGCATGAGACACCCCGTCCTGAGACCCACCAGCTGCCGGGAGGCTGCTGGAGGTTTAAATTCCCAGGCCCAAGGTCGTGCCCCTCCCAAATCCCCTTCACCGCCCAATGAGGGCGGCGGGTGGGTGCTGGACCTGCCCAGTCCCAGAGGCCTCCCCCCTTGGTCTACTCACCCCAAAGGAAGCAGCCTCTGGAACCCAGCAGGCCCGGGAACGGCTCACCATGTTCCCATGGCGGCCGTCTGGGATCCAGGCATGAGACACCCCGTCCTGAGACCCACACCGTCCATGATAATTTCTGTGATCCCTGCCAGAGGCTTAGCTTAAACAAACAACAAAGATAATACCAACTGCATTCTCTAAACTCACCATTTAGGGTCTCCTTGTGATACAACCCAAAGAGAAACAGCAGTATGTCGACACAGGGCTTCATTCTAGCCTTAACAACCGTGAGCTGCCTAGCTTAGGGCAGGTATCATCTTGTTCTCCAGCCAGCCCTCCCTATTTTCTAGGATCAGTGGCTCAAGTGATGTAAGATACAAGGAAAAACCAAAATGTACAAGTATAAACATAAATTATAAATGCATATTAAAAGCTCAAGGCTACTTTTGTGCTTCCATTTTGGATACTATTGTCATGAGGACAGGTGACCTGTAATGAAGGTGACAGCTTGAATTGTGGTAAGAGTTACACTAGCTCATTGGATTGTGGCTTCTCAGGAGTTGATTAGCACTAACAGTCAAGATCTCATTTTACCCTGTAATTTGCACAAATCCATTTCAGAAAACAAACTGGTGGATGTCAATAAAGATCAGAGAAAACCAAATAAGCAAGCACAGCAATAGTGATACAGCAATAAAGATGATAATGCCAGAGGACATGTTTGGAACACTTGCTAAGTGTTAACATGGAAAGTAAAGATTTCAACCTGCTACAGCTCCTATTTATCTTCCTTACTGCACGTTGAGCAGGCTCTGTTCTTGGTGCTTTGCATTTGCCACTCAATGCTCTCACAACTCTGAGAAAGGCACTTTCTCACAGGAAACTGTACTTTCCAAATACGCAGGCTGAAAGAGAAGTGAAGTAGCCCACTCAAGGTCACACAATTCATGTTGATCACCAACAGTAATCTATATTTCATTTGCTTCTCTGTTTATACCAGGTCCCCAAAGGCAGCTCGCTCAGCAACAACTAGCAACCCTTCTAAGTTCACTGCAAAGTTTGGAGAGTCAGAAAAGTGCCCTCGATGCGGGAAGTCAGTTTATGCTGCTGAGAAAGTGATGGGAGGTGGCAAGGTGAGGCCTTCTGTATGACACAAACAGATTCATTCATATTTACCACCGCCAGTTGCAAGATGAGGGAACTGTGGGTGGGGGTGGACTGGACCCCGTCTTTGGCCCTAGCCCCCAGAATCACTTTAGAAATCACATACTACTACTTTTCTGGGTGATTACTCTCATGCATTAGTGCTTTGGAAAAGCTAGAACTTGGTGCAGTTCAAGTCAACCAGTGTTAACTACTAATGGAAGGCAGCCAGTTCAAAACTCTGTAGACACAAAGAGGCATGTGCCCCTGCCCTGTAATGTTTGTAATCCTTACAGAAAGGTCTCAGTCCTGAGACCCTGTCACTGCTATGTAACTCAGCCTGTTGCTGCCATCACCACTGACCATATGACAATTGTCTCACAGCAGTTGAAAATCAACAGTACAAACATCCTGTCTCTGAAAAGTCATCAAATGTATGAGACTGAGATGTATACTTATTCTGTAAGCTCTGGTTTCAGATCCAAAGCTAGGCTGTTCACCAAAGGAAAGGAAGGGATGCATATACCCAGAGAGAAAGTCATGTTGAAAAAAATCATGCTGCTGGGCCCAGCACGGTGGCGCAAGTGGTTAAGTCCTCGCCCGGGATCCCATATGGGCGCCGGTTCTAATCCCAAGGCTTTGGGAACCTGCACCCACGTGGGAGACCCGGAGGAGGCTCTTGGCTTCGGATCGGCATAGTATCGACCCGTTGCGCTCACTTGGGGAGTGAATCATCGGACAGAAGATCTTCCTCTCTGTCTCTCCTCTCTGTATATCTACCTTTCCAATAAAAAATAATAAAAATAAATCTTTAAAAGAAAAAAGAAAAAAATCATGCTGATTCTACATGAGGGAGAGAAGGGCCACAGAAGGGTCTACTTCAAATATAAGGGCAGGGTCTGCACCCAACACCACAGATATGCAGACATCTGAGCTCCTCCAGGTCCTACTTGATACATACAGATGTACATGAGGAAAAAGGTCTTTTGACAATCCAATTTATGCGGTTTTGTAGGCAGAATTAAATGGATTCAAGCAAGGTTACGTTATCTCATTATCTAGATAACTGCTTTACTTTTTTCCTTCTTTAATCTTATATTCAATATAAACCTTGCCCACTGATCCAAGCTCAAATCATTTTCTGCTATTTGTTCCTTGGGTCATTTTGGCTAGGCAAAGTCCATTCCCACTTAGTCTGTCTTGAAGGACTGCTTGTATAAGTCACCAAACTAAATCCATTTTTAGAGCTTTGAGGACTGGTGCCTGAGGCAAATCACAGGAAAAGTTAGGGATAGTTTAAAGTGGCAGTTGGTATACTGCTGGCTAGGGCCCTAGACATGGGAACAGAATATGTCACCCACCTCACAATAACATGCAACCCCTTTGTGCCCTCAGCCTTGGCACAAGACCTGTTTCCGCTGCGCCATCTGTGGGAAGAGTCTGGAGTCCACGAATGTCACTGACAAAGATGGGGAGCTTTATTGCAAAGGTGAGTGGTCTCAAAGACTTTATGTGTCCTGGGAGCATACACAGAGGCTTATCTGTGTCTGCTGGAAGCATGGCTTTTCAGCCATATTGGGTGTTTGAGATGGATAGCAAGATCACCTAAGGGAAAAGAATTTTCTTCGCCCATTTGTGGTTCTTGTTAGTAGAGCACCTGGTAGGACCTGGATACTAACTGGTTCTGGGCAGTGGGACACCTGGGCAGAGTTAGAAAGACAGAAACCAATGAGGCCTGGACAAATAGCATCAGAGTCTCTTCTAAAATCTAAGCATCCTTTGTCCACCTAAATGGCAGTTGGGGACACTTTGTGTGGGAAGAACTCATGTTTGACCACATGATACTTTAAGACATACCTACTTCACTCCTCCCTCCCTGCCCCCTTCTTTCTCACGCCATTTCTATTTCTGATACTGTATTTCTAATATTGTACATCACTTAGTGATCACATGAAAAGAACTGGTTTTCTTCTTTGTCCTCATAGCTGCGCCTTTACCTGCCTCCCTACTCTGTCTTTTGAAGGACTGGTGAGGATTAGCTCTTTCCTGACACTGCAAAAGAAAGGGATGCACTAGGTTTAGGGCAGTGCCCTTTCTGCCTCAGAGCTTCTCATGTTCTGTTGCTCATCATTGCCTAATGAAGGTTTCACAAGAATCTCTAAATGTGTACAGAAGGAGCATAGGGAGGAAAATAAAGGAGGTTAAGTGGGAGGAGATTATCAGGCAAAGCTTCTCCCACACCGAGACAGGATGGGAACTGACCCACTCTCTCGGCAGGTGATTGCCTTCTCCTGACAATAGAAAAGCCAAGTGTTCCCAGCATTCAGTAGACCATAAAGCTATTGCATGCTGCTGTGGCTAGCAGGAAGATCAACATGTAAAAAACAAGTGCATTTCAAAATGAAAGAAAAAGTAAACTATAGCAGAGGAACAGTCACAATGCAGTAGTCTATGAAGAAAGTAACCAGCATGGGTGAATGGGAAAGGTTCCTTAGAAGACATCATTCTTCTGGGGCTTAAAGAGCAAGTGTAGGTTTGGGAGAGCCATTCTAGGAAAGACACCTAAACTTGGACATCACAGTTCCCTCTAGGAATGGCAAATATGTAATATGTTTGTAAGGTAGCGAACAGGAGAAAGCAGGGGCTAGGGCTGGGGCTGGCAAAGTAGTTGGGATTATGTCAACTATCTGTGACTACAATAAATAGCAAAGAAGTGTGAGCAACTTTTATTAGGAAATGAAAGAGCAGAATGGTTCAATTCATTTCAAAGTTAATGTGGGTATAAATTTATCACAAGGATACCTATAGCAGGACAGACACAAGGACTTGAAGTGGTAATGTTAACTCAGTTGTTCTTTCTCCTCCTGTCTGTTTCTCATGCAGTTTGCTATGCGAAAAACTTCGGCCCCACAGGCATTGGGTTTGGAGGTCTCACACAGCAGGTGGAAAAGAAAGAGTGAAAAGGTGCCCCATTTCCCATGTTTGGCTCCAGCCTGAAGCATTTGCCAAGCAACCCTGCACAGAAAGGAGTCTTTCTCTAAACAACCTCTCAATTGTGGCTGGATGGGGTTTATCTTCAGAAGCCGTAATGATCCTCTTTGGAAGAAAATTATTTTAAATTTAATCTGCAACCAAGTGGTTTGTTATTTACAGTTTTTGAGTTAGGAAAGGCAATAAACAAATGATCGATGGTACCTTATATGTTTCTGGATCGTTTTTATTTTTTGGATAGAGGGAAATTCTCATAAAACACAGAGCTACTTGAAAAATTAGCTGCAGAGAATATGATGAAATTGGACATCAACTGGGAAAGGAGTGAAAAGGAAGAAACAATTGTCAGAGGAAGAGTCTTTGGAAACCATCAGCTGAGTGTGCCTCTGCTAACCAAGAAGAAAACAGGATTGGAATGGGACAGAGAACATGATAGAAATTTCAAAAAGGAAAATAAAAATGAGTAAAATCCAACTAATCTTTAGGCACTCTCTTCCACACAAACAGCAATTATACTCAAAGATCTGAAGTTTTCCAAATATGCATAGGAACCTCATTCCGTTACAATTTTTAATACTATTTTTTTATGAGTATACCTGGCTTTTCTGTAAGATGAAAAACTCTCCATCTTCACTTCCTAACTCCTTAGCCTAGCGAGCTCCCGTTAATCAAGTCACAGGTCAGATGTTATCTCTTCAAAGTTGTTTCTCAAATACCTGGGCACAATTAATCCGCTTCTGTGTATCCATGACTGACATATAAGTAGAACAGTACTTGCCTCACAGCATTAGAATTTTGAACCTCCATTTGCCACCTGGTTAAAATGAGGCATGCTTGCATTCAGTGTCCAACAAATAGTAGGCATTAATAAACATCTGAGTGAATGATGTGAAAAAAAATATGTAAACCAGACTAATGCAAATATGCCTAGAATTTAAACAAGGAGATCATTTCATACTTGAAGCTTAGAAAGAATGAAACAAAACAAAGAATGTATCATCCTTTACTGACATTTCTCCCTGGTTCTGGGCACACTACACTTCTACTGTTTCTGCAGACACATACTGAGTTCGATCAACAGAGTCTTGGCCTCCACAGCATTTCTGGGAGGTCTCCATCACTCCACATCTCAAGGTGCAAAAGGTTCAGTAGACACCAAGTCAAAGCAATAGTGACTCCACTGCTTGGGAAGCAACATGGGTCCCTACATGGAAAGACACTTGCTAATAGCTATATGCACTATGATGTAAGGAATATATAACTTTTATGTTAAGGCATTGAGATTAGAGGTTATTATCATGTTGGTTCCCTTGACCAATAACACCCGAGGTTATTCTGTGTATTGCAACCAAGTATTACCATCTCTCACAGTTTTGATGACCATCCTAAGTCATAGAGAGTATCCTCAAGATTCTGTCCCATACATATAAAAGTTCAAATTTATCATCCCCAATTTGATTGTACAAATATTTTAGAAAAGAGTAAACATACAGAAAGATAGCATGAAAGTCACACTCCCCTGATTCCAACAAACATGACTGGGTTTTCCTTGCCTTCAAAACAAAACCTTGTGGTGCTGAAGTTGTGGCTCAGCAAGCTAATCCTTTGCCTGCCATAGTGACATCCCATATGGATACTAGTTCTAGTCCTGGCTGTTCCACTTTCAATCCAAGCCCCTAATAGTCACCTGGGAAAACAGTGCAGGATGGCTCTAGTCCTTGAGCCCCTGTGTCTACATGGGAGAAGTGGAAGAAACTCCTGGCTCCTGGCTGCAGATTGGCTTAGCACCAGTTATTGTTGTAAATTTGGGAGTGAGCCAGTAGATGGAAACTCTCCCTCTTTTTCTCTGTAAATATTTTTAAATAAAAATAAATAAAATAAAATAATAAATAAATAAAAAATAAAAATATTTTTTTAAAAATCCTTGCTATTTTAATCCAAGCTACTGTCATCTCTCCTTTTTACAGATAACTTAAGACTAGATTTCACACAGTCCTCAGTCTAGCATCTTCCTAGGCTCCTCCTGTCCCTATACTCTGCCCCTCAACCATTACCAGCAACTGACGCCATTAAGTATCAATCTCTTGATCAAAAATTCTTTGGTCTTTCCTCAGTTTTACCTCTCAACTTTCCTTTAGCTCCCAACAACTCACTGCCTCCTTTCTAAAATTGGTTATTCTTCCCTTTGGATTCCATGATGATTCTCCTGACTCTTCTCCATGCCAATCATGCCAAGTTACATTTGCATTCTCCACCTCCCTAATTCCATATTCTCTCGTTCCTTCCCTTTACCTCTCAAACTATTTCCTTGCATTTGCTATCACCTTTTATCCGTTTTTTAAGAATTGGACTTTTTGAGTATAATTCTCTTCTGTGACAATCTCAAACAGCTGTGCAGACAACTCCCTTCCATGTCCTGGCCTTTTGTCAACTGCCTTCCACAATTTTCTACTCAACAATTTTAAGGAACTCAAACTCAATACACCCTAGTTGCCACCTCGACACAATACACCCTAGCTGTTACCCTGACATAATTGTCTTTGCCTCTGAGAGGAGCATTTCCGCCCTCTTATTCATTAGGTTCAACACTTCAGTCGTATTTGTCTCTTCTTTTTCTCCCCCACCCCAGTGAATGACTTGGTCTGCTCAGTTTCTTCTGTGCCACTGCCACTGTCCTAGTTCAGATGGCTATAACTTCTTGCCAAGATCACCATTAACCATTTTTCTTTTAACATTTTGTACCTGCCAGGTCTAACCATAGTCATTAAATAAACAAAATCCAAAAGTATATTAGATGGAATTGGCTAGACAGATGCCAACATCTTTGAAAAGTGCAGAGGGACACATTGTTTTACATGTGATGGTATCTGCAGGAAGCACTTCCCGTCCTGGGGCTGGGCAAACAGGAGGCTGTCATCATTCAGATGCTCAGAGTTGCACTCAGTCTCCTAGGGCAGGAATCAGGCTTTCAAGCGGGGAACTATCTAGCTTCGCTGCTGCAGCTAAGGTATATGATGAAGTAGGCTTTGGAATACAAAAAAAAAAAAAAAAAAAAGACATCAACTCCCTCTTACTACAGGGCCATTGCTGGGAGCAGCACTGAAGCAGTCAGCAAGTGGAATTTACTGGCAAAATGTAACAGGAGGCCAAGTGGCAGCAGACTGATAGCTTGCAGAATCCTAGCCCGGGAACACATGACACAAAGTGTTAACGGTGGATGCGATGTGTTTATTTTTTTAGGATTTATTTTTATACATGGTCCTAGCCCAGATGCATAGAAGTAATGAGATTTATTTATTATCTTTTTTTTTTTTTTTTTTTTTTGGAAAGGCAGACTTAGAGAGAGGAGACAGGGAGACAGAGAGATACCTTCTATCCACTGGTTCACTCCCCAGATGGCTGCAACGGCCAGATTTGAGCAGTTCTGAAGCCAGGAACTAGGAGCTTTTTCCAGGTCTCCCACACGAGGGCAGGATCCTGTCAATTTGGGCCACCTTTTGATGTTTTTCCAGGTCATAAGCAGGGAGCTGGGTTGGAAGTAAAGTAGGTGAGACACAAAATGGTGCTCATATGGGATGCTGGAGCAGATACAGGATTAGTTTGACATGCCACCATAGCAGTCCCTGGTGTTTGACTTCTTTGTAATCCACTCTCCATGAGACTTCTAAGTTAATAACCAACGTGTATTTGATTTACTATATCACAGTAGTTGTAAGCATTTCATGTTTGACATATTTGATCTTTATAACACTTGAATAGATATTTTCCACATAAGATAAATGAGGAAATTGAGGAAACAAACAAGGATGTTAAATCATTTTCCCAAAATGATGAAAGTAGTTTGTAATTGATAGATCCAGTACTCAAACTAAGGTTGTTTGGATCACTGTATGCCTGGAAAGTGGAAGAAAGCAGATCTCTTAGACATTACCCTGGGTATGTTGCTGCCTGAAGCTTTGGTCTTGCCAACTGTAACACTGTCAACAGTGTTGCTCTTAAGGCTTCCATTCTCAGGCAGCTGGCACTGGTCTGGCTTGGTCCTTCTCTTGCTGCTGTTGTCTCCTTATGACCTCCAGCATATGAACTTACTAGCTCCACACCTGCCTCTCAGGGCTTCAGCTTTTGGCCAACAGCTGCCTTGTGTACAGAATGTACCAGCAGAGTTTTCTTCTCAAAACACTGTTTTGAGCCTGGCACGGTAGCCTAGAGTCTTTGCCTCACATTTGCTCCAATCCCGTATGGGCTCCGGTTTGTATTCCGGTGGACCCACTTCCCATCCAGCTCCCTGCTTGTGACCTAGGAAAGCTGTCGAAGACGGCCCAAAGTTTTGCTACCCTGCACCCACATGGGAGACGGCGAGGAAGCCCCTGGCTCCTGATTTTCTCAGCTCCAGTCAGTGAGGCCATGTGGAGACTGAACCAGCAGACAGATCTCTCCTTCTCTAAATCTCCGTTCCCAATTTAAAAAAAATATTTTAAAATATCTAATTTCTATTTATACCATCCCCCAATCCTCCCTTTCCATATATTAACCAAGATCACCATTTTAAATATCCTAGGGACCCAGTTTATCATTATTCTTAATATACTTTAGGCTTTTCCATTGCCTTCAATTACAGTATCAATTGCTTACCACTTCAAATTTTTTATTTACAAACTACACATCATGGACCCTTTTAATGTTGTCACCATAAATACTTCTTGATCATACCATGAGTTTCTCCCCCACTTCCTAACTCCAATTGTATTTTGCCTGCACCCTCTCCTAATGGCACTGAATATTTCCTGCCATTCCTTAATTTCAACTTCAATTTTCAGCTTCCCCTCAAGTCTGCAAGCTCCCTGATGAGAATACCCAAACAGATAATTCAAGGCAAGATGTAACATGGTTCTCAGTAAATACTTCTGTAATCATTTAAGAATGAATAAAATGCACCTTCCAATCTCTATGTATCAATTAGAAGTGATGGGATATGGTGATTTGGAATGTCTATATTGGGGAATTTGAATTTTCCACAAGTGGACCCCTCACTTCCCTTGTGATTTTGATGTAAATGGTCTACTGAACATAATTACAGATCATAGGGATTGGTGAGAAAGGATGTATTCGGAAGAAGCACTTCAGCCCCCTAATTGAGAAACTGTCTTCAAACATAACAATTATGATCTTATCATGCCTTGTTTTAAAAATTTTGGGGTCACTGTTGTGGTGTAAAGGTTAAACTGCTGCTTGCAGTGCCAGCATCCCATATGAGTGCCAGTTGGGAGCCCCTGTTGTTCCACTTCCAATTCAGCTATCCGCGAATGGCCTGGGAAATGCAGAAGATGGCTCACTACCTGGGCTTCTGTCACCCACATGCGAGATTGGGGTAGAACTCCATGTTTATATCTGGCTCAGCACAGGCTGTTGTGGCCACTTGGTGAGGGCAATCAGCAGAAGCTATCTCTTCCACACTTTCTCTGTAACTCTTTCAAATAAGTACAGTTGTAAAATCTCTTTAATTCACTCAACAAACTAACTGAATTATTTAAGGCCATGTGTAAGGCAATGCTCTAGGTGATGAGGATTTAGAGTATTAACTCCACTGTTTGTGACCATGGAGAAGTACTTCTTTTATTTTTAGAAACTCAATTACTTTATTGAAAAGCAGAATAAATAGAGGCAGTGAGGGGAGGAGAAAGAGACAGAGAGACAGCTATCTTCTATCCACTGGTTCATTCCTCCAAATAGCCAGGACTGGGATAGGCTGAAATTAAGAACTTGAAATTCCATCAGAATCTCACACACAGCAGGCAGGGGTCTAAGCTTTCCCAGGCACATCATCACAAAGACCACAAGTGCAGCAGCTGGGACTAAGCAGCACTCATATGGGATGCTGATGTCACAGGCAGCAATTTAACCCACTGCACCACAAAGCTAGCCATTGGATTTAACTGCTTTTGGCTTTTGTTTCCTGATCTGTCAAGACTATAGGAGAAAAGTGAATGAACAGCTGAGGAAGTGAAAGGTCAGTGTGTTCAGAATACAAAGAGCAGGTTTTAGAGGGCATTCGGGCCTTACACATTAGAGTAAGAATTTTAGCTTTTAACCCAAGAACAATGGAAACTCAGGAAGGGATTTTACCATGCCCATGGGCAAATTTATACACTTACTGAGTTAGAATTTGTATTTCCTCTAGGAGAGCACAGATTAGTCATTACTATCATATCAGCCTAAAATTTTGGGAGGGTGTTAAATAAAAAACAGTAACTAATATTCATGACATCCTATGTTCAATTTTCTAAATAGGAGAGAAGGCTAAATTAGACCCTGCATATGGGTGCTGCTTATCAGTGTCATTAGTTAATGCATTATCAATATCTTTTTTTCAATTTAAGATTCTAGAAACTTTTAAGTGTCAGGAACTAAGTCAATTATAAAAACATTTATTATATGTGAAAGCAAAACCAGTACATCTATTTAAATATTTACACATATATAGACAGAACAAAGACAAATAACTTATCAAAAATTGCAAGTTCAAAGAGCAGTATCATTTTGAAGCAGCCAATACAGTACATGAAAATACTCCATTTTATCCATAATTAGTGAATATTGTCCTCAGAAAGGGTACGTTATATTTTCTTGTGAAAAATATAAAAGTTCTTCTCAGATGTCTGCCATGCTTGGGAACAGTTCATCCTTCTGAATCAGGTTTACACCTTTATTAGGAACTTCCTGTTCTGTTTGTTTTTTTCCAAATTTCTTTAAAAACCTCTGGTGTTCCCCTTTGAGTTTAGGTGAATTCTAAATCTGCATTTCAGTGCATCAACAACAAGAACAGATCGAAGCGAGAGTTCTCAGTTGCTTTTCTTCAGACTGAGCGCAGAACTTTCTCCTTGGCTGGGTGAAAGACCATAGTGTACTGTGATGTCCAATCTACCACAGAAGGCCTCACCAGGCCAAAGCAGCCACAACGAAAGAAATCTGCCAGGTTCTGTGTGAATCCAAGGCTGCCAAGAAAAGAAGAGAACATGTGTTACTTGCAGCTCCTGATGGGTATTTGTTTAAACCATGAATATGCACTGAAGATCTATCTCCATGGCGTCTTTGAAGTGCTTGAAGGAATTCACAGCTCAATCTTGACTGTTCTTGACTTAAGAGACCTTAAAACTGAAGCCTCATTCTGTTTGGACCTGACTATTTTGAGATCCTTGGCTTATGTCTGGCAACTGAGTTGGGCTTTATCACTTCATGCTGGATCCTTTATTTACTGGAGTGGTCACTGCCAAATTTCTTCTTTTGGATTCTGCTGCCACAGCTAAGACTGCCTCAAAGGGCACACAGCAGGGATGATATTGTGGAGCAGTGGGTTAAGCTGTTGCTTGTGATGACAGCCTCTAATACTGGTGTACTGGTTTGAGTCGAGATTGTCCTGTTCCAATCCAGCTTCCTGCTAATATGTCTGGGAAGGCAGTAGATAACGGCTAACATGCTTAGACCACTGTCACCCAAGTGGGAAACCTCATGGAGTCTGGTTCCTGGGTTGGATTAGCCTGGCCCAGCCCTGGGCCATTTGGGGAATGAACCAGCAGAAGGGAGCTCTCTTTGTATCTCCTAACTCTGCCTTTCAAATAAAACAAACAAATCTTTAATTTGAAAAAGGCCACAGAGACCAAAACAATTATGATCAATAGGATGCTCTCCTCACTCGCAAGCCCTCTTTCTTAGTAGTTCTCTAAATCAATGTTCCTGCCTCAACTATTTACAATTTATCTTACAAAGACTATCTAGTCTTCCCGGGCCGGTGGCGCTAGGGGCGTGGCTAGACCCAAGCCCGGGCCGGGAAGAGGGGCGGGGCTGACGCTCGGGGACGTGACCCCTGGCAACATGGCTGCTGCCAGGGTCCCCAGGCTCGGCCAAGTTCGTCTCCCGGAATGCAACCAGCAGTCTTCACGCCCACTCGGAAGGCTGCTTCGGGGCGGCCAGTGCGCCAGTTGGCGCCAGGCTTCGCCTGCTGACCGCCCGGCCAGGGAGCCCTGAGAAATTGGTTCTCTGTATGCTGCTCAAGATGGCTTCATGCTGAAGCTATAGCGTTTTGGGGACACCAAGCAACCCTAAAGATTTCCAACAGCTGTAAATCTCCCTCAGACGAATCTGCTGCTATCATGGTTTCACTCCATAAGTTCCGAATGATTGTAACTCCCAATATAATGGCAATTCCTTACGATACACAGTAACTGGGTGGGAACACAGAGAAATCTCTCATTTCCCTTGAAAAAGCTAGGAATCCACGTAGTGTAACCTGCAGGAACTAGATAAGTATATTAAAGTTGATAGATCCAGACCAGCATTAGACAACAGCAAAAGCTAAAATGACACACAGGGGAATTAGGAACGACCCAAACAGTCTATTAACAAGTGGTCATATGCACAGAATAGGGGAGAACCCCAGAGCGGAACAGAGGGACTGGAGGAGGCTTATCCCCCACCCATGAGGACTCCCGGACTCCCACCAAGGTCTATCAGAACGGACACAAGAACGTCAACGCAACTGCCAAAGAGAACAAGGGGATCTGGAATGCCTCCGAATGCTGTGAACCCAGAGGACAGACATCCCCCCTCTTTGGACCAACTACACGAGATGGAAGAAGCCCGAGTCCTTCCACATAGGAACCAACGACATCAGAACAACAATTAGGAACCACGATTGGTCATCAGAACCAGAAGATCAATAAACTTCTGGCGGGACAGTGGGGGAGGAATCCTCTCCAGTCCTTACCTAGTTTCAGCTCTGGGCCTCCACCCCCTATAAAGACCAACAAGGTTCCTCCTAAACCCCCCTCCCCCCCTACACACACACACACTTACACACACACTCATATACACACACTAATAGGATGAGATAACCAAAGAACAATAAAGATAGGTCATCAAGGACTCACTCATATACTATTAGATGGAACATAAAGAACAAGTACTCATTAACAAGGTATGCGAGATTTCCCTGCAACACCCCCCAAAATCGTTACACACCTCAATTGAGGAGGTGACATTGAAATAGTTGTAGAAGGTAATCAAGAACTTACATGTAATTTTTACATATTGTCTACTCAATACTATGTCAGACATCTAATGTTTGCCTGGATTTAACCTGTAATTTATGCTTGGTTGATTGTTACTTTTTGAACCTGTCACTGATACTGTCTAAACCCAGAGGTGTGGAAGAATTGAACTTTTTTTTTTAACATATTGTTCACTCAACACTATACCAATTAATCCCATAACATTGTATATCGACGCTGATGTTTTGTTGGGGGTTTTAACTGACCGGAACTTTACTCTGTTAGCTCTACCTTCAGACCAGAGAAGATCTCCCCAAAAGGCCACTGAACTTATCTGGACAATAAGACGCTGGACTTTATGCTAGGTACATGCTCACAATGAAGGAATTTCAACTGAACTTGAACTGTGGTTATGCAGCAAGATGGAGCAATCCACTATGGGAGGAGGGGTGTGGGAGGGGCGGGGAGACTCCCCAGTGCTTATAAAACTGTTTCACATAATACCATGTTAATAAAAAAAAAGACAGTAAAAAAAAAAAAAACCAAAAAACAAAGACTATCTAGTCTTTAAAAATATTATAAATTCATAGCATCTTATCTCCCCTCATCAAAACCTTTTATTCACATGCCCAGAAGCTCAGATCCAACACAGTGAATTTCCTGTTTCTGTACAGTGAATTTCTCAGGTTTTAGTTTCCCAAATTCATGTTTATAAACCTCGTGGCCCAAGCTACTCCTGGGTCTATTTTTCCCCGATCATGCCTGTGTGTATCTAGAACCTATGTTGTTTCACCTGCACCTCAGGTATTCTCTTTATCCTTCCAATTCCCACCAATTTTCAAAGCAGAGCCAGCACCCACATTCACACCGGAGCGTTCCTCATTGCGACTGTCTTCTGCATTGCTTGTTCTCCCTCAAATTCCAGATGTGCTATCATCTATTCCAGCTACAGGAGTGCATATTTTTATGCATATGCTGTATCTTTCGGTGCTGACCCGATGATCCAATGCCCTAGTGCATCTGTGCAGAAGGATGGCTGTGTTGCTGTCTGGATGACTGTGCTCTGCGTCAGGATGACTGCACTGTCAGTGCCAGACCAGCACTCCTCAGAAACCAGCTGCCTGGGAAGAGGGCTGGGAAGAGCTGATAAGGAGGCAGTGGAGAGACATGCTGGGAATGACAGGGCCCAGCTGACAAGCTAGCTACTGAGTAACAGCAACCTACAGCAAGACAAACAAGTACTATCTTATAGTTAGGGCAGGATTTTGGAAGCTAGATGCTAAGCAGCTCCTCGAGCTCATTCTGCTGTTGCCCGGCCAACAAGCCCCTCTCTCACAGTTTTGGCCTTCTACATAAGACTCCTTTCCTGGATGTGATCTTTGTATCTTCATCAAACCCTGACACAAGACAGCTAAAAATTCTACCTCCATCACAAGGTTTCATACTTCTGTGAGTAAATATTTCTCTAGATAAATCCCCAAGGAGGGAATTTTATTTTCACTTCCAGTCTAAAATAATCATCACAAGCTTTACACCACTCCCAAGGCTTCAGTCACATCTTCCCAATTAAGCCAAATCTTCACCCCTGAATACACACTGTATCACAGCCCAGTCTCCAATTCCCTTGTCTAACAGTATAACAGTTTCATCTGGTACTAAGAGTAAACTTTAAAATAGACTGCTCATGAGATATACAGTGAATGTTCAAATCCTTTAAGGGATATGGGCCACGTCTGCAGCACTCTTACTTAACCTTGAAGACCCTGATAGAGGTGGCAGGGAGATAAGCTTCACAGGCTGATCTTTCTGAACACAAGGTGACAGCCTTCCTTCAAACAGTCACTGTCAATTCAGGACAGGTTTTCTTACAACCAAAGCTCCAGGTGGAACTTAGCCAAACCTGAAAAACCAGCTTCTTTCTGACACAGGTGGGCATACTAAACAGAGCGTGATGCAAAACCAGGTTGGAAATCTTGGCAAAGCACAGAATCTAACGCTTCCTTCAGATAGCCTTGCGGCTGGCTTCCTCAATCACATGCTCAGTTATCTCACACTGACTCCAAACCAGTTACACAAAACCTTGTGACCATGCTGCCTGAGTGGACAGATTCTTTATCTTGGCAAAACTTCAAAGTCACTTACTGTTTGTGCTGAATCCAGCAGACCAAATCCTAAATTGTTACCACTTTGGGGCTCATGATCTTACAACTTAACCCTGTCAGTAAAGCTTATGAAAGGGCACTCACTTGCAACAAACACCAAGTTAGGTAAGAATGGTATGGTTATGAGCAGTGTCACTAGCTCGGGAAACCAGTGGCTAGGGATCTTCCACCACACTTAGTAGCTAGGAGAGATGTCGCTTACTTGTATGGTGTCTTCCGGAGGGACAAGGTCTGCTTCATGTGCCTGCTTTGCTTTAGCAGGCTTATTCTCTCATGGGAAGTCAGGCCCAGGAAAGCAATCTGAAAAGGGATATTCGAAAGTGCAAGAAAAAGACCATATTGCAACTCATCATCCTTAGCAACATCATCACATGACACCAGCAAACACTTATTACTCCCCAGAAGGGAGTGTAAGCTACACAGAAAGTTCATGAAGAAATGGAATTAAAACCTAAGTTTATTTTTGTGTAAAACATTTTGAAATTCATGCAGTTTTAAAATACTATTTCCCATGACAAGTTTTTTGAAGACCACTCACATACACCTATAATCTGGGCATCCCTTCTGCCTCCATCCCCATCATCAGATTTTTACTACCCACAAGGAAAGTGCTAAGCACTAACTTTCAACTGTGAAATAACAATTTTTTAAGCCAAGGTTTATGGTCATGTTTACATTAACACATTCCAGATGAATAAAAGGATGTAACTGAAATTAGTACAATTGTCTCAACTTGTATGTTCTTTACAACTCTTTGAAATGATCATGAAAATGACTAAAAAAAAAAAAAAGTTAATCTGAAGAACATTAAAATCCACTAATTTGGAAAAAACAAGATTTAAAGGGACTTTGAAATCAATAAATACCATAAATCTAGAGGAAAATTAAGATTTAAGGTGACTTTAAAACTTTCAAATAATTAAAATAACATCAAGTTTTGTTCCCACTAAACAGAGCTCATTACACTATCTTCACACTGTTTAAAGATTCAAGATAATATATTTAAATATTTAGTGAAGAGCTTTAGAGAGGCAGGACAACTGATCTAAAGCCACACAGCTTACCGAGGAAGAGCTGAGACTGATACCTTGGGAAGTATGAGAACAGAGCCCATGCTGTGGTCTACAGCCTCAGTTTGACTTACCATAGTTAAAACTGTATCTACCTAGAAAGCTCAGAAGTTGTAAACTTTCGAAGAGCCAGACTTTTTGTTAATTAGGAAAACAAACGCTCTGACTTCTTATTTTTTGAAAACTGTGTGAAATCCTTAGTTCATTTTCTTGCTAGAAAGAAAAAAAATATGTACCCTTCTTTTGACAGTTAAGAATATTATAGTCTCCCATACTATTTACTTGTTCTAAGAGAGCAGAAAAGAGGAGAAATTTAGAATTGACACTTGAAATCTTAGGTTCTACTTATAACTCCACCTCCACTGGGGTCTATGGACATTAAACAAAGAATAGTATCTCTGCTTGTGAGGAAACAGACAGGAAGTGCATTGGAAAATGTAAAGCACATATAAATATTAGGTGTTATAAATGATAGTATTAATTAGTCATTGATACTAATATCCATTTTCATTGCCTGAGTCTGTTGCTGCCTTAGGGTTGAAGAGATTCAGATAAATGTTCAAAGACCTGAAGTAATTGGATCAGGCTGATGACTGCTGCCTACTCTATGTGGACAGGCCAAAGCAAAGGTGAAGATTACATTAGGTCCTGGAGGAAGGAAGCGAGGAAGGGACAGACACTTCATAAAATACTGACAGTGACTACTGCCCCGAGGTTGAACTTTCTAATGGCCATGACCTTCTCCAAAAATGTAATTACCATGTCCACTGACCAGTGATGGATCTTTCTTTTTTCCCACACCTAAACTAAGGGAAAAAAACCATCTCACATCTACATGATGCTTTACACTTTGTATCACACTTTCACATACTCTAATGTAATTGCATGATGTAAAAATCCCAGAATGAGACAGTCTGAAGACCTGAGTTTCCAGGTCGGATTTTGCCACTCATGGGGTGAACCTGAGAAATTCACCTCCCTATATCTGTAAGTGTAAAACAAAGAGACCCCATTGGGTAATTCCTCCATCCATCTCTAACAATTTATTAATCTGTAGGCCATGCTTTGTCACAGACAAAGAAATGGAAATTAGGAGAGGTAAAATGACATGACCTTCAAAGAAAGAGACAGGCAGAACTAGAATTGGAGTGTTTTGATTTTCAATCAATGTCTTTCTACTTCACCACAACTAATTAAGTGTTCCTCAAGGGTGTTATATGAAGAGAAATAAATATCTGAAAGATAGACAATGGGATGCTGGACTGTCTGACTTTGTCTGTACTAGCAATGTCAGGGCACACTTAAATAGCAGACTGACAGACTTGCAACTCCTTATGAAGAAATGTGCTTTTGTGACAATATGGAAAAAATCAGTCGGTGGGCGGGAACTGAAGGGAGGGGAATCCCAGATTATACAGAACTGTATGATAAAATTCAAAAATTAAAATAAAAATTTAAAAAAATACCTGAAAGAGTTGATTTACTAATAAGAATGTTGACCACGAGAAATGGAAAGCTGCTAGCATGAAGATATATACAACCCAAGGAGAACAGGCAACAATCTGACTGAGGTAGGTCCATAGTCCATCTTCTTTGAATGTTGTGGCACAATGATTTGACCAATCTATAAATTTAAAAAGTGAAGAGGAACCCATTGTTAAAATGACAACAGACTAGAGAACACTCTTCTAGTAAATTTAACTGCAGAAGTTCTACTTAAAACAAGAAAGACACAATGGCACAGATCAGACTTCAACTTTCAAAATTCATTCTCTAAATACCAGATTGGGGAACGATGACTTGATGTTAACAAAAGCTATGATCACACCATACGAGCAGCTGACAATGAAGGACTGAAAGAAAAAGCTCTGTAATTCTTTCATTAAAACCAGCATCTTCAGCATAAAATGCCCTGACCAAAACTGTTCCAAGACTTGACAACTGAGAATGATTATTTTCTATGTTGTCCATGTTAAAGCAAGTTAAGCATCTATTACAAGACTGAACATAATTTTTTATTTAAAAGTTCAATGAAGAGGCCACTGTTTTGGTTACAAGATCTTGTAAGTACCAAGATACCAACAGAACAGAATCTAAGTGCATGCAAGACTGGGCATAGGTGTGTTTCTGCATTAGCACCAAAACTACTCCAACAGAAAGAGAAAGGTCGGTTAAAGGGACTTTACAAGAAAGATAAATGCAGGACAGAAATACAGAGCAATATTCGAACAGTTACTCCTCAGTTTCTCCTGTAAGAACTTTTACATGCTAATTAAAAGAGGGTTCTTCACTATTGACTCATTATTTTGACCCTCTATCCCATGCAACCCAGAGCGGTGGGCGACAGAATCACAGAAAAGAATCAACAGAAACAAGGAACCAAATTTCAAGGTTGTGTTAATTTAATGACTTTTGCAGGTACCATAATCATGCATAAATGATGAACCATATCTGAAATGAGAATCTTTTAACTTTGCATCTTGAAGCTTCATAAAGGTTTCTGACAATCTGAAAAGTAACTTTAGGTATTTCTGACAGCACCACTAAAAGGCCAGGACAAAAAGAAATGAATCTATAGTTTACTATTAGCTGTCTATCTTTGTCCTAAAAAGCACTTTTTTTTTCCTGACTCTCATCGGATTCCCAATCATTTTTCATGAACATATGCCAGAAGTATTCCAAGAACCATCATCACAGAGTTAATAAACAAGGTAACAGGTAAAGGGAAATTACATTCTCTTTAGAGCCTCTCATTAGGATGGCAAAAAAAGATGCATCCTATGCACCTGATATTTTAAAAATATCTAATTTCCTACAGCAAGTGGAGAAGATAGAAGTTGAGTAGGAAAGAATATCTTTCTTTCTGGTTATAGATTTTCCATACTTTCTCTTGGAAATCTTTTCAATAACACAGTATAATCTAAGACTAAAGTACTGATTCAAGATTTATTATGTAAAATTCAGCTGTAAATGGTCATGCACATTATCCTACACAATATAACACTCTGATTTATGTTAATATATTCTTATCAGGTAGTCAATGGCTAGTGAATGTGAACTTATACTGTTCCAAGACAATTGTTTTCATCTTTAGACAGTTCTGATAGCTGAGAAGTTCTTCTTGATACTGCTTTAAAACCTTTCTCTCTATAACTTCCAATACACTGATACTTTCTGAGTCACATCACAAAAAATGACAGGAATGGGAAGATCTACAGAGAGGCAGAAGTATTCTACTAAACTACACGAGGAAGGAGGCTTACAGTAGGACTCAAATGACAATAGCACTAATGGTAATTGAAGAAGGGATAACAGTGAGGCCTCATTTAAGAAAGGAGCATGACCTCATGTTTCCTGTTGGTGAAATAAGGACAAACGATACCATACACTCAATTAGTCTAAAGAATTACTCTTATTGTTAGAATACAAATGGACTAAATGCAACCAAATATGCTCAATTAGTCTATACAAGTGTAAGTCTATGTAAGGTTTCTAAGAAACAAAACATAACGTGAAAATTGGTTCAGAGCCAGGGAAAAGACAGAGAAGGTAAGAACTAATGTGTGTCATAAAAAAAAAGGCTGAATGTAATGGAAAAACGCTTTTATCCTTATCAATACAGTCTTATGCTGAACACAGACAGCAAACAAAAGGGACTATTTTTAGTGAGGAGTGAGAAGGCAGGAGACTAGTGGAGTAAAATTTGGCTCCTCTCCTGCAGGACCAATTCCAAGAAAAAAGTTGGCCCATGGGCCAACTCAGGTTTTCCAGGAATGAATGTTATTGTTGGGCCTTAAACAGGCAGCTGTCTCAACAAAAGGAAGCAATGTCATAAAATCCTTTATTTCTTATATTGTAAGATATACTCTGAGGTTTTGAAACTCCAGTGCTCAAGGTTACTCATGGCCTCTGACAATAACTGAGCTCAGTTCTGATAAATTGATTTGGGTGATGACAGATTCAGCTGCAAAAGCAGTTCCTAGTGCTTAGAAACACCCAAAGTGTCAGGTGGGAAAGGGTATTACAAGGAAACTGAGGCTTCACCATATCTTCTCCTTGGCAAAATAACCATTTCACACAGATACTAATAAACAATCGCTGAGCATAAACCCCCAAATGAAACAAAAACAAAGTCCATAGGGAAGGAAACTGATACTGGAGGATGAACACAAAAAGGAATTATCTTTCAACAAAGAGAGAAAGAGAAAGTGAGTCAGAGACAGAGACAGAGAGAACAAGAAAGGGCTCCCTAATTTTTAAATGGCCATGGTGGTCCAGGACTAGGCATGACTTAAGCCAGGAGTTCCTGAACTCAGTCCAGCTCTCCTACAGGGATGGAAGGAACCCAAGCTTCTGAGATGTTTCCTGCTGCCTCCCAGGGCAAACAATAGCAGGAAGTTGAGGTCAGGAGCTACAACTGGGTATTGAGCCCCGGTATTTCAATGTGGGGTGTGGGCATCTCAACCTCTAGATCACTTTCCCTTACACAAAATTTAAGCTAAGAGAACCAAAAAAGGGGTCAGGTGAGAAGGAGGAGATAGTGAAGGAGTAGCAGAGGGAGGCAGAAAGAGACAGACAGGCACTAGTGGGGCTGCTAAAAGGAAGAAGAATATATGAAAAATAATTAAGAAAAAATTTCCTAATATTTTTCTGATTCACAGATTTCAATCCCAGTACAAAAGGAGCACAGATATGAACAGAGGTGAATAGAAACAGGTCACAAATGACATGTTTGTGTTAAGCGTCTAAGCCTTCAACATGAACAGCTACAGCCCAAATAAAGAAACCGTGAGTACTATATGCTTTTCCAAACAGAACCTCGAAGATCTAAAGTATAGTCACACAGTTTTTAGTAGCTGAACAAATGTCATCTTTTCTACAATTCACTTCCTTGTTCTCAGTCATCACCTTGGAACAGCTATTTGTTGCTCCCTGTAGGAGACCCCTAGGCTTGCTTTAAAATAGCTACTCAAAGATACATCTTTTCCAAATTCTTTTTTCCAACCTTTTAATTGTTGCAGTTTTCCCATCAGGAATCTGACCTGACACTTCATTAAATTATAGGAGCTTTCTGAGCTGTCATCCTTTGTGTACTGTGACTGTTCAGCCCCAACCTTTCCACCACCCACCTTCCCTTCTTCCTTGTTTTTTTTCACCTGCCACCTCTTACTTTGCTCATAAGCAGCTGACCTTTCCTCTTCACTAAGAGACTCTGTACTTGTCCTGAGTGACTTTCTATTTTGAACGTCTCAGGTTCTCTCCCCAAGACTGAAAATGAACCTCTTAGGAGCATTTTCTGCAGCTTCCTGAGGCCAGAAGAGTCTTAGAGGTATCTGCTTCATTTTCCTTATGAGTTTGGCTTATGAATGAGGTTTTACAAGAAAAATGGAGAGTTGGGTGTGGGTACATGATCTTATTGTGAGGAAAACATATACTTACACACAAAAGATCCATATATAATCCAGTCACACACTACGGAAAGGAAAAGCAAGAAGAATATGTAATAGTGATGGTTGCCAAAACCTAAAACAAAGAGAAAGAACAAACTTAGTGCTACCTTACAATTATTCTCTAGGGAAGACTTTGGTAACCATAATGCTATCAAAAACCTTCACCAAAAATAAACCAGAACCCAAGTTGCTGCTTTGCTTCTGAAGACGAGTACACTCAAATCAAATAGTTCCGTAAATCATAGTTGGCTGCTTTTGTTTACTGAATATTCATTCAGTACTCATCTTAAAATGGCAATTCTTTGAACAGACCATAATTAACTAAGAAAATCTCTTGTCTGACCTAGTCAGTATTGGAGGGAGGGGAATGGGCAAGATTCTGCATCTTCTTCCTTTGATATGACACTTTTACACAATTTCTGAAGCATCAAAGTCAGAGAAGGGGAACAGAAACCAAATCTGAAAAGCAGGAAACGTACTCATTGTACATGACTGGACAAAGGGGTAATCAGCAGGGAGCAGAAGCAAAGGAAGCATGAAGGTGCCAGGAGGCTGAGACCCTTCAGTGCCATGTGCTGCTTTTCTTAAAGTGAGGGAGGGGAATGTTTCAATGGTAACACATGCTCCTTAGCTAAAACATCTGGTCCCACCTTCTCTGTAAGCAGCAAAGCACAAGTAAAAATATTGTTAAATACAGTGTGATAAAAACAAAGGCTTACTGCTATTACTTTCTCACTGCCAACTGTGCTGCCAGGCACATTTATCCTCTAACATCCATGGTGGGATTCAGTCCATAAAGCTTGGGACCCCATGACTCATCAGGCCACCTGTTCTCTAGGAACAGGAGAGAATATCAAAACACACCAAGGAAACATGAGTGAATGGAGGTACCCTGCTGGTCATTAGGACTACAAAAGTATATTCTCTCAAGAAGATCCACAACCACATGGCCATCATAAAAAAATATAGAATATATATGTTATTTGTAGTGGAAATACTACAGAAGTGATCTCAAACAAATAATTTCACCTTTTATACTTTCTCAGCTCAAAAATGGAGAGAATACCAACTTCATAGATAATGTTTAGGACCAAATTAGATAGTGAATGTCAAAGTATTTTAAAACCTCTGAAGATAAATAAAATGCAGTAATTGTCCCTATCAACATCAAAAAGTAATCTTCTAAGTCTTATTCCAGAGATCATTTTCAGAGAACGAACTCTCAATGGAGGCCTTAGATGACCCTGCACATGTAACATATGCTTCCCTACCCAGCAGCAATTGAAAAATTTCTCACCTATGCATCGCCCAGTCCACAGGCAGTGTTGATCATATCGAGCTACACAGGAATTGCACACATGGCAGTGGAGTGACCTTAATGGCTTCCGTATCTAAATGGGCAATTAAGAGAGGTCTCAGTGAAAACCACTTTCTTAAATTACAAGCAAAATTTTAAACCTAGGTCATAAAGGCATTGGCAGAAATAAGCTTAAACAGAGCGTCAATTCACCTAGAAGTTCAAGAATGCCTTATTAATATTTATTTCCAGGTGTCTACTCTGATTAGGCCATTAATGAAGATCTTAATTCCAGAGCAGAGCCATCCTGGTTAAGGAGAAAAGAAGCAGGTTGTAAGGCAGAACAAGCAATGGACTAAAAAAGAAGAACCCAAGTTATATTTAGGGCTCTGTCAGTCATCTGGGGGGAAGTCCCTGCTCCCTCAAGTCTTTAATTTCTCAAGTGTAAAACAAGAGGTTTCATTTAGTGGTTTCCTAGGTCACTAAGAGTCTCTGACTTGACATCTTTTCTAATACTACATAATATGGCCAAGAAAACCAAACACATTGTAGATAACTCACAGAGGTTTAACCATAAGCAACTTCAAAAGATGTTAAGTATCACTTGCCTATATATTTCAGGCAGAATATTGCTCTGACAGAATGCAAAAAAAAAAAAAAAAACCCATAAAACTAAAGATGCATAACTACATCATGAAGATTTGACAAATGCTTACACAAAGTAGTGTCACCAAGAATTTGTTTTCAGCATAAGAAAGGAAATTATACAGAAACGACTCACAAGACAGGAGGTACAAAATGTTCTGAAGTCCAGACAGCCACTTTCTGCAAGGGTGATGATATTCTGAAAGACATCAAATTTGACCTTGTGATTGCGTTTTATTGGAGATTGTATTATGTGTGGCTATTTCTCACAGCTCTTGTTACAACCTCAAGTAGCTAAAAAGGCAATTTGGAATGCATGTCACTAAGTCATTCTGTGCTAGAAATCACAGAGCTTTTCAGGGCTGTATTTTCAACTAACAGACAACAAATTAAACTTCATTAAAAACCACACCTCCTCCTGATGAATGGCAAACACCTCCCAGATACAATCTTCTAGAGAAAAAGAGAAATGCACTCATGTACACGTAAAGCAGAAAGAAATTAAAACCACTAGTCTCCATCAGCCTTGATGGTTACAAAACCAGCAGGTGAGTCCTGTGAGAACACGGTCTTTGGGTAACAAAGAGATCATGATCACACACTCCACCTTTCCCCACCCCCAAACACACACTTCCAAAGATTTGTGAGCAATGGAAAATGTGCCACATCCTCCTGCAGCTTTGTATTTGAGAAAGAAAAGGAACATTTCAGCAGGGAGGAAGGTATCCTCTGAGCCTGGCTAGTACTATTATATTATACATACATCATTTTTAAAAGACTATAGGTGGACCAAAGCCACCTAAATGTTATATAAACATATACGAACAATGTGTAACAGCAGAGAAACTTCATCCAGCTAGTTTAATTATTCCATATTTATGTTGCACTTATTAGGTGCCAGGTATTAGAGACGCACCCATGACAAAATCAATGGAGCTCTGTCTGAATGAATGTAGTCTTGTATTTTAAGATACTGGCATCGGTAGCACTTCAGAGAAAACTTACCACTTTCCTTTCTTCTTCAGAAGTCTTAGTGAAACCTGGATCGGTTGCCCAAGTCTTGTAGAAGAAGTACAAAAAGGCTAAAATGCTAAAAATGAAAATGAAATAGAAAGGGGTGCCTGCTAAATGTTAAAGCCAAGTTAAGGAATATTGTTAAGCTTCCACTAAGATCATAATTATAACATCAACAGAACTTACCACTGGGGTCTCAAAACTATCTTCTCTGCTTCTATCCCCATGTTCCTAAAGTACACACACCCCTTACCCCAAAGCTGCCTCAAGCCTATGATGTAATCCTGCAGGAATTTACTCCAAGTTGGCTAATAATTAATGCTTCCTCATTAGTTGAAACTCACATTAAATATTAATAGGAATAGATGGAATTTATGAGGAACATCCTAAAGACTAGAAAGCAATCAAGATTCAAATAAATTTATCCCTACTGGTATAATGGTTGGTTCTCCCGTGTATCTCTAGAAAAACATTCTCTGGTTATTCTAACATCATTGAAAGAAACAAACCCTGGTTCAGAGATTAAAACCAAAATTATTTCCTCACCTATAGGTAAATGCTTATTAGAATTTTCTGCTGTAAGTTTTAATAACTAATCCTTGTAGTTGCATTAGTGAGTTAATCAGGAAACAGAAACTAATCTCCCTGCAAATGATTACAAACCATATCCTATTTGAGAAAGGCAGACATTAGGAGACAGAATAAGACAAAAAGTATTTTAAGAAAAAAAAAAAGGAAAAAGGATAAATAACTACTTTTCAATTTTTCCCAAACTTTCTTGTGCTAAACTTCTCATACAAAAAGTAAAACTTTGTTCCAGAAAAAGAAAATTGAATGTGCAATTCTAACTCAATGAGCCAATGGAACCAATTGTCATTGCTCAGTTTATTATTGACACAGTAGCTGCCCTCCAAGGTGTTGCCAAAAGATTCCATGCCAAACACCAGAGTGGAAATGGCAGTCATAAACTAAACTAAACCCTAGCTATTCAAACGTGTTCACGGACTTGCAGCCAGGGCTTTGCTTGGCAGTGTGTTAGAAAAGCAGAACTCCATGCTCTACTCCAGGTTTACAGAACCAGTCTCTGTATTTTAATACTTGCACATTGATGTTGAGAAGTGCTATAACTCATAAAGACTAATAGAGCTACCTCTGGTCAGACAGGCAGAAACAAATTCTGTTTAGCTTATCTGTATGAAGGCCTATCTTCAAGAGAGTCCAAAGAACGGTGTAACTGAGTTTTAACAAATTAAGTGTTCTAGAACAGATTAAAATGAACACCACCAAAGAGTACACAGGGCCAAGATTTCTGCTGAAGAATCATATGCTTTTTCTGCAAAGTTGTGATCACCAGACACTTCAAACATGCATTCTGGTGACCCTGTACACTGAGCTGACCATTCTGGATTCCTATTCTGAATAACTTACAAAACATCCTTAGGGAATCACTGGATTGGCCTTGTCTAAGTAAAATGACATTTCTTAGGTGGCTCACTGAGCTCAAACGCTCCTCATTTCCTCTCATTTCCTTCTAAAACCACACTTTGGGAAGTCCAGGTCCTAACTGCCTTTAGAATCCTGCTTCCCTTCTCCGTCTCCTTCTAAGTATGTCTTTTCTGTCTCCCTAGAGACAAGAATTCTCACTTTCCCAAATTTAAGAAAGAAATTTTAGGGCACCATGACCTTAGACAGCTATTATTTATGGGCCTGTCAGCCTCCTCAGCCTCCTCTGTAGTCTGGTCAGCCTTTTGCAATTAAAGTCTCTTCATACAGAGCTAAGAGTTACCAATCTATAGCCTCCATCTATTGTTTTCCATTCACTGATCTTTTCAATCCCCGCCATACCTCTCCTTAGCACTCATTTACATAAGCTTGTTATTTTATTCAACCAAAACAACTACTCTCTGCAGGGCACTGCCTCCAAGGGTAGACTTCCAAACACTGGGACCAGGAGGAAGTAATCAGGCTATTCATACTAGAGTTTTCTGGTCCTATCGTTTTGTTTATGATCTTGTCATTAAGTCTTTTATATTTTTATTTTGAATTTTTGAATTATGTGGTACAATTTCATATAGACTGTGATTTCCTCCCCCCCAAAGTCATTAAATCTTTTAAAAGAGAATCCAAAAGCAGAGTAAATACATTTCAGGTGTGTACTGACCAAGTGAAACTGCTGTTGTCCTTTACCTCAACATTCAAATGCTCATAATACTATTTCTAAATATGTGGGCTTCTTGGACAATTGCATTAGTAGCCACATTGGGCATTTAATTTAAGTTCCCATTTTTTTTCACTTTTTTACAATGCTTTGCGTTCTACAGCTGATTCCCTGAAGTACAGGACTTAAAGTTATTTATTGCTCTTGCTCTTAAAATGAATTCACAAATACAACAAATAGTGTTTCTTGCCTGTCTTAATGTTACCTCCAAATTCATGGGTAAGGTTCTATTTTCTTTCATTCAATTCTCCTCATAAAAGCCATATACTTATATTACTTGCTGAACACATAAGTAAAAGGTATCAAAGAAACAATCACCTGAGGAGCTGACAAAGAGCTGCCCTCAAACTCATTTCAACACAACGCCTTTCATGATTTAATTTATAAGACTAATAATGAAGAGTTAGGTACTGTTTATAAGATGCCAACTATAGATACGAGCCAGTTTTGTAAAGATACAGTCAAGGCCTGACGTGATGGCTCAAATGGCTAATCTTTTTTTTCTCTCTCTCTTTTTTTTATAATTATATTTTGACAATCTTTACATAGTTGATTAGGGTAAATCAAATGGCTAATCTTCTGCCTGCAAGTGCTGCCATCCCATATGGGTGCCATTTAGTGTCCTGGCTACTCCACTTCCCATCCAGCTCCCTGCTTACAGCCTGGGAAAGCAGTGGAGGATGGCCCAAATCCTTGGGACCATTTACTTGCATGAGTGACCTGGAGGACACTCTTAGGTCCTGAGTTTGGATCAGTTCAGCTCTGGGAGAGTGAACTGACAGATATCTTTCTGTCTCTCCTTCTCTCTGTAAATTTGCCTTTCCAATAAAAATAATAAATACATCTTGAAAAGTAAAAATATCATAGTCACTCCTATCTAGTCAATAGTGCTACCCCCAAAGCAAAAGCACTGAGCCTCAGTGAAAATTAAATAATTCATCAATGACACATAGCTAGTAAGAAAAGCTAAACTCAAGATGAACCTGCCTGATTCTAAAAATCCCACTCTTACTGCAAATACCCCAGTCCCTTTTCCCATATCAGTCAGTAGCCCCAGGAGCGTAAGTTCCATTCAATCTAGACAGGGCAACCAGAAATGAAGACAGTCTAACCAGAAAGAATGGGACTCTGCAGTGCAGCAGCTCAATTCATCTACAGAGCAGTTCTAACAGCGTTTAACAATGAGCTTGAAATACTATTCTGATGGTCAAGTATGCCACCTACTGACTCACATGCTCTCAAAACCAGCAGCTTCACATGGGTGCCTAAATGCACTGGATTTACATTGTACTAATAAGTAAAATATTCCATTGGGTCAGTTTCAACATCTGAAGCTTCTGTTTAGTTCTAGAAATCAATTTTTTAATATAATAGTGTCTTAACAATCAACAAGCTGTTTGTAGTTAAGCTTAACATTTATTTGATATTTTCAAACAATAGAGTTACATTTTAAAAAAATTTTTGACATTGCAAATTCTAAATAGCTCAAAAGGGAACTTTCTTATTTTGTATGCAAAATGTAAGCAATTGCAGTTGTTCAGACTTTACAAAGTCATCAGGGGGGCTGGTGTTTAGCTTAGCAGTTTAGATGGCCAAATCCCACATGGCCCGTACCCGAGTTTGCCACTTAGGTTTGGCTCCCCACTACCTTCTTGCCAAGGTACAACCTGGGAGGCAGCAGTAAAAGGAGCTCTTTTAAATTACGTTGTTTCTATTTCTCTCCCTCCCTCTTTGTTTCTGCCTCTCAAATAAATACTTTAAAAAATTTAAGTCAATCAGAAAACATAATTTTAACACCTTGTTTTACTCCACTGCCACATAGGTTAATAAGTAAAAAACATCAGCTATCCCTTCTTAGTAGCATGTCAATCATCCTAGAATTTATGATCTTTGGGTCTCTGCAAGTGATTCTGGTGGAAACTGTACTGGTTGCTTGATGCACTCAATGCTTACTTAGAAGTTAATAGATTTTTTTCTCCTAATAATACCGTCTAAGCCTTCAGTAAGTTACCTGAATAAGGCCAGTGCGTTAAAATCTATCAAAAAGCCAGTAATTATGAGACAAAACTGAGGGACAGTACAGTCAAATGACCTCCACAACATATACCCCATTCACTTAAAAGCAACTGAAAAAGAGATACTACTTGGAAATGAAGAACAGTATTAAAGCAAAAACATGATGCAACAAACTCAGAGAACTCAGTCTCCATTCCCCCGGATTCCCGAGGAAAAGAACCCCAGAGGTCAGAATATGAACTCTCACAAACACTGTTTTCTTTTTTTTAAAAATGCCTTTAACCAGCTGAACAATAAAAGGTAGTTAAAGAAGCATGTTAAAGATACATTTCTATCCACATTTCTTTTTCCCAATTCTGTAAGAAAAGCAGGGCTTTAATGCTTTTCTAGGGTTCTTGGGAGGGGAGAAGGACATCTAGAAAGAGATGGGAAGACTGAAAATCCCTCCCATTTAACTTGAGTCACAGATATAACCCAGTAAGTATCTACCTCTCCATGTCCAGGTAGCTGGCCTTGGCTAACTGAAAGAGGACAATACATTCCTGGCTGGTCTTGGGTCTGGCCCTTATCCTCTAGTGACAAATCACTCCTAAAGTGAGCTGCATTTTCCCCACAAGTTTCTACTCAACAGGTCATGTAAGAATTCTGTGGATACTGATTATTTTTTTGAAATGACCAGGTTAAAGTAGCACACAAAATATGGTAAAACATACATTAGGAGTACTACTTATCAAAGTTTTGTTTCACATACATTTTGAGTGGCAAGATAAATTAATTTTACTGTGGCCTGAGAATCACTGCCATTTCACTGTTACTGAGGAAGTCATCTTTCCCCCATGATGTTAAAAGGCCAGGTAGTATCCAGCATATTTATCAATCAAAACTACTGACCAAGCTGAAAAGGCCACTCAATCCTGAAGAAATTTCAGATCAATTCAACAAATTACTGTGGGTTCAAATAAGACAAAAAGCTGTCTCTTATGAGCAACACACTAAACACAAACTGTGCTCAGATTCTTTACAAAATCAAGTAATTTTTAAAACTAAACATCAACTAAACTTATTAAATGAATGCAAATGTTGTTTGTATTCCTTGGATCTCTTCTAATACTTAAATTCCCAATAATAGCATTACCACTTTTTTAAAAGGCAAAATGAGTCTATGTTTAAGGTTAAAGGATATCAGGAAAGAACAAGTTGAACCACGTCATAAATATCCAAAAAATGGAACTTAGGAGAAAGACTGTCGGTAAGTACACAAGGTTTTTATATCCGACCAGGAACCTAAAAGAAAACACAAACATAAGGTATTAGTAAACATCTGAATGTGACTTATATTAATTTTAGTTCTAAACTCTGCTAAATAATAACAGCAATAGTTCTCACTTACTAAATGCTTTATACACATCACTTTCTTTTTATGTGTAGAGGAGTATAATTACATTTTATTTGATTTCTGTCCATCGATCAATGAATAGACAACTCTGTTTATCTGGGATAAGTAGACAAATGTGTGACTTCTAGAGGCACGCAATAATAATACTAATAATAAAGAACTACAAAATAAACTTCATTAGTACATACACCAATAAAAAGGCTTCACAGAAAAATTGGGTCTCCTTTTTAGCATGCCTATCAAAAACCAATTTTTTTTTTATTTTTATGGTTCAATTCCATAGGGTCTGGGATTTCCCTACCCCCTCCCCATATACATCACTTTTCTTTTTTAAAAGATTTACTTTTTAAAATTTTTTAAATTAGAAAGGCAGATAGAGAGGAGACACAGAGAGAAAGATCTTCCATATGCTGGTTCAATCGCCCACACAGCCACAACAGCCAGACCTGAACCGATACAAAACCAAGAGCCAGGAGCTTCTTCCTGGTCTCCCATAGGATATAGGGTCCCAGGGCCTCAGACCATCCTCAATTGCCTTCCCAGGCCACAAGCAAGGAGCTAGAGGGGAAGTGAGCAGCTGGGATTAGAACCATTGGCCATATGGGATCCTGGCTGATGCAAGGCAAGGATTTAGCCACTAAGCTATCATGCCAGGCTCCATATACATTAATTTCATTGTGGCAATAAATATGTACCATCATCATCCCATTTTACACGTAAGAACACTGAAGTAATGACAACCCTAAAGAAATAGGTGTTCTAGTTCTAACTTTCACATGCCACTCACAGTACCTGAATTTTTTAGATTTATTTATTTGAATGATAGAGTTACAGAGAGAAAGAAAGAGATATTTTATCCAGCGGTTCATTCTTGAAATGGCCACAACAACCAGGTCTGGGCTAGGCTGAAGCCAGCGGCTTCTTCTAAGGTGTCCACCTGACTACATGGTCTCAAGAATGTGGGACATCTTCTGTTACTTTCTCAGGCACAATTATAGGAATCTGGATAGGAAATGGAACACCCAGGACTTGAACCAGTGCCCAAATGGGAAGCTAGAGTCATATGTAGTGGTTTAATCAAAAAAATCACAACACTGGATCCCATAAAAACTTATTCATGAAATTTTATATTTCTATTGAGACACATAGGTGATTTTTGGCATACATTTCTAAATATTCCAAAATGCAAAAATGTGGAGATTTTACCCTCACCTTTAACCAGCTTTCTCCCAGAAGTTAGCAATAAATTTGTGAAACACATAGACACATGCAACCTGAAGGACTTTAAACCAGCCTGCAACTAGTCGGAGAAGTAGATACAACACAAGAAACAGGCATAAAGGTTGAAAGTGCCACTGGTCTCAGCAACATTAGCAATCCTACTTGGGTAACAAGCAACTTGAAGCCCATATATAACTTACTCAGAATGTTTAGTACTTGCAGTTTCAAAAGGAAAAAAAAAACTGTGAACACTGAATATTATCATATGCATGAATACAGTTTACTTGGAAGTATTTTTAAATTTATACCAGGAAATGATTGTGATGGTTGATGGTGGGTGCTAAGTATTTTTTCAAAAGCCACTGGGATCATAACCATAACTACAATTAAAATTGTGTTCAGAAGAGCTAGCGATTGTAAATTTGAGGCACTCAGCATGCTTCCAGAATAGGCCAAATGAGCCACTGAAACTGCCAGGAGAGGGCAAAAGCAGCATTCGATCTTTTTAACGAGGTAGTGCAGTGAACCACCTCGTTTGTAAGAGCCCGTTAGTACTACCTGCTTATTGACAGGCATCACATGGCAGCCTCAATCAACAGGAACTGCTTCTGAAACCTAACAAGAGCACAATTTTGTAGCTACATACCCACATGACATTGAAAAAATGAGAAAAAAAGCAGTATAGTCACAGCTGCCACTGCCATTGACTAACATGTGAACAGTGCCCGTATGCCAAGCATTGAATATGAAGCCCTCAACTGTCATGAAAACAAGATTTCATGTAACTTTTTCTCATAATTTTTGTCTCAATTAAATATCAACAACAAAAATCCCACAAAGTATCAGGCTCTCCTGTTCCAGGTGAGCAGGTTCTACATTCCCTTGCTCCCTGCCTAGAGGGAGAAAATTGAGGGCACTTCACTTACAGCTGATTTAGAGATTCAGTCAATCCAATTAATGGAAAATTAATGTATATCCCTAAATTACAAGTTTTCTGAATTAGGTATTACTCTATCTTGCAGAGATTTGAGCTTTTACCTTGCATTTAAATTCTAACACATTACTCATTAATTATCCTGTTTCTGGTTGACCACACACAGATTCCTCTAATACTCCGTTCCATCTCTTACAACAAAAACAGCACCTCCTTATTGCAGAAAACATTGGCAAGCAAAAGGAGAGTCAGAAATACTCATAATCACACCCTGCAGATAGCAACTCTTCATTTTCTTTGAGATCCTTTTCCATCAATCAGCATCATTAAATTTCTTTTTTCCCTCAGTGAAAGCAAATGTGTAACAGCAGAGACAATCTCCCTGCTTTTATGGGCCTCACATTGCAGAAAACAATGAGTAAAGTATGAGTAAAATCAAACAGTGATACAGCACAATCAGTCAGGCACGGCCTCACTAGGGAAGTGACATCTGAACTGGCCCGAATGATATCTCAACAGCCATGCATAGATAAGGTATCAGAGCGCTTCAGACAAGAGCCAAGAAGGAATGAGCTTGTTGTGTTCCAGGGAAACAAACCGTGAAAGGCAGAGAGGGGGAAGAGACTGGGTTAGCCAGGAGGCAATGAAACACATCATACCTCACATGCAACAAGTCCGGATTTCAGTTTGAGCAAAGGAATAATTTAAGTAGAGAGCTTTCAGGAGCTAAAGAAGATAGAAACTGACCCACCTGAAAGAACACCCTGATCACCAAGTGGGAATGATCCTACAGAGATAAGAGCTAAAATGGCCAGTTTACTTATGAGAATTAGTCTAGGTTGCCAATGTGAAAATGGAAAAGCAGACCAACTACAAGCAGAAAAAGATGTCCTGGGCAATCGGCTGGATGTGGGAACTGAAAGGGGAAGAATCAATGAGGATCTTAATCTAAAGATGAGATTCACAGGCACAGAAGGAACCAGATGCCACTTTACTGAGATGGGGAAGAGACAGAGCTGAGACTGGGATGTCACAGACCGAGTGTCAGCCATTGCTCAAAGCATTTAGATGTATTTGTCAGTAGGCAAACAACTATCACAGTTATACTTATTTCACACATGAAAAAGCGGAGGCAGAGAAATAAAATAAGGTCAGGCTGCTACATGGTTAAAGCTTGACTAAAATCCAGGCAGCTGATTCTGAACCATTAACTATATGTGAAATTCATTAAGTATTTTCCTGAAAAAATTGAATCAAACTACACTTGCTATTTTATAAATTGTCACAATTTAACCAGGCTGTTGTAACCGAGTATCACAGGGAGCAAAAATGATTAACTTTCAATTTAGATTTAGAAAGGAAAGAACAATTTTTGAAAAGAAAAAGTTGCAAAAATGTAGCAAGTAGCAAAATGGTTTCTCATCCAAGTACTAACCAGGCTTGACATTGCTTATCTTCCCCATTCAGGGTGATATAGCAAGTAGCAAAATGGTTACAAAAATGTCCTCATTATTCATCAAAACTAACAATTCAAAAAGTGGGAGAGTATGTATTTTTTCAACGACTGTCAATTCAATCAAATTATAGTTGAACACCTTGCTTTCAGCCAAAGAATAGGCTACCACCACCTCCTCCCACAAACTCCAAGGATGTTGTTCTATGCTAAATAATACTTATAGCTCAATAAAGATCTGTGATTTTAGCTAATCAGCAACAGAAATAAACAATTAAACTGGAAATGCAATAACAATACTTGCAGAGATTAATATACACACCTTGGAAACAAAGATGTCAGAAAAAACAATGTTACTAGAAGACATCCTTTTAAAAGCCATGAGTCTGAACTGTGATCCAATATGTATCCAACAGTCCACATGGTTATCACAGAAAGCATCAGCATCAGGAACAGCTATCAAGAAATTCAGAATTTTAGAAGTTCAAGAAGTCACTTTCTAAGTACCTAACAACCATTAGCTTACAACAACAAATATTTCCTAAAGATACAGTAAAAAGTAAAAACAGCAAAATTAATAAATTTTTTCTTCAAAGTTGCCAACTGGTGATTCTCAGGTTTGAGAAAATATACATCCTGCAAATCTTCTTATAAAAGTTGCATGTTTTACAAAAGGTTGTAAAGACATATTGTTTTATTTTTCTTTCAAAAGTTTTAATGATAGCTGAAATGAAAAATAGATTATTTCAAATATCATTTTATATCAGAAAGCAAGCTAAAAGGACCACATCAAAACCAGTGTACCCAAGACTCATGAGCGAATGGATATAGGAACCCCACTCGGGTGTCAAAGAAGGCTGGAAGAAACAGGTCCAGAGAGACATGCTTACTCCACAGTGTCAGAACCGTAAATACCCGTGGACACCCAAGAGAAATGCAGGAGGGAACCAAACAACACTCAGTTCTATCTTTCCAGAAGACTTGAGATTTGCCAGCACATACGTGGTAAAGTCATGGGCACATAACTGTGTAGGTAGAAAGGGACAGAATCTTGCTCAATTTTTAAGGTTAGGGTGAAAATCTAAATCCCCAAAGGTAACTAGGAAAGAATGATCAGAGGCAAAATGAGAACCTGGAGAAAGAGGTTTTTGAGAACCCAGAGAAGAGATTTCCAAAAATTGGGTAGTCTGTGTCACATGAACATTAAACAGTAAATAAACTATGTTCTTAGGATAAACTATTGACTCAGGTCTATTTTGGCAAATAAATTTTGCCATTTGTGTGATGTAGTTCTTTAGTGACAAGATCTGACACCTGAAAGCAAGCAGCACTTTTTTTATCAGCACAGGAAAAACTTTTTTGTCCTTTACTTTCCATTATTCTCTCTTATCTGGGGATGGAGAATTTCAAATGACATCCAATCCTTAAAATGCTTCCAATTCAAGTTTTTTGATGACAGAAAACAAGCAAGTCTAGATTTCAAAAAAGTAAACTCAAGAGGTTGGTACAATGGTTCAGTTGGCTAATCCTTCCCCTTCAAATGCTGGGATCACATGTGGATGCTGCTTCCCTTCCAGTTCCCCATTTGTGGCTGCAGAAAGCAGCAGAGAATGATCCAAGGCCCCGGGACCCTGTACCCATATGGAAGACCCAGATCAAAAGCTCTTGGCTTTTGGCTTCAGTTCAGCTTAGCTCCGACCTTTGCGGCCATTTGGGAAGTGAGCTAATGGATGGAAGATCTTTCTTCTTCTCTGTAAGTTCGCCTTTCCAATGAAAATAGATATTTAAAAACACAAAAGGTAATTTTAGAACCTACACAATCTCAGGTTAGAAGTAAAAGTCTAAATCCTACATCTGACACTCATCCTTGAGCTTTACAATTCATTCAACCAATTCTTGAGGGCATTCTGCATGCAAAGCATTGTTCTAAACATGCAGGGTATATCAGAAAATTAAAGTCCTCCTGTCATGCAGCTTAAATTCTAGCTGGAGAAGACAGATAAACATATAAAGCCAATTTTGTAGTACATAAAATTTATATCAATTTAGATCACACAGAGTTTTGCAGGCCAGGGTGGGGACATCATTTAGTATGAAGAGCAGTAAGAAAACACCCCAGAAGTTGTAGCAGATCAATGTCTGGATTTGATTTGCAATTAAAAGATCCATCTGCAGGGCCAAAATGGCACTGGTCTCTGAAATAGTAAGGCAGGGTCAGAAACTGGATGTAAAATGAAGACAGAACCAATCAATGTATCTACCTAACAAAGTATGACACAGAAAATGCAAAGATGAGCAGAAAGTGAGAGTTGTCATTTATTGAGATTCTGATGCTTAGGCAGGGGGAGGGGGTGTTCAGTTTCTGATGTTACATTGGAGATGCTACTAGACTCTGACCAGGATGAGTCTGGAAAGGTATAGGACAGAAAGATGCACTTGGAAGATGTCAATATGTAAATGATATTAAGGGAATAGAGAGAAAAAAGGTTCAAGGACAAAACCTTAGGACCTGTCACCTGTTAAAGACTGGGGCAGGAAGGTGTGGGGCAGTGGAGGAGTTGACAGAGGCTAGACTAAGAAAATACATTTCTCTCCACATATGCAAAGTAGATGGAGCACTGATAATCATCCTGTAATCTGGAGACTGTTAAGTTAGATTCTGAAAATGCAATTACTTATCTTTATTAGTTATAATGATCTTCCATTTGTGGAAATAGTAAATAGTGAGATTAATTTAATTTTCCATTTTAAAAATCTAAATTATATGTATAGCTTAGCTTTTGTTAGCCATTCAGGAGAACAAACTAAACTTCCTAACTTTTAATATTCAGTTCACTTTAGAGCATAAAAGAATTCTACTCAGAACTGCTAAGTTAAAAAATGAGTAAAATCTGGATTTCAATCCTCAAAAACTACAGATGTTCTAAATATTTATGAAGCAACTTCAGATGTCTGAAATATGCAATGGTGTCATCTTCAAAATTTAATTTCTTATGGTTCAAACAAAGCATTCTGAATATTATTTTCTTTTTGAGAAAAAGTATTATTTTCTTTTTGAGAAAAAGTATTAGGGGAGGGGAGGGATGAACTACCATGACTATAAAGCTATCTTAGAAAAAAATAAATAAAGCAAGCTTCATTGAGGAAGAAGCTAAGTAAAATTACAAAATACCTTGCAACATGCGCTTTTTCTTTTGCTTCTGTAAGATCTAAGCAATCAACATTTCAATTAAGTAATTAAATAAGTAATAAAAGTACATCCTCCTATTCATAAAGTTACATGCAGATTTAAAGCTCATCTTGCTGGGAACCTACAACAAGTACTGATGAAAATAAAGTGTCAGTTCTGAGTTGTAGGATACATGTGAAAGATACGAAGTACAGACAGAATACAACATCAAGCCAACTGTCAAGGAACAAAAACAAATTAACATTCTAATATTCCACAGTACGAGTTCCCTATGAGAAGTACCTCACATTTCTGCAGCCACCTCCAGACTCTGAACTTTTGTTTGGCTCTCATTTTGGCTTCTGTTTTCAGCATGTGAATAATGAGTCGATTCTTGTTTTGCAGAGCCACATCAAGAGGTGTTTCTCCCTTAAGATGAAAGAAAATGTTCAGTTACCTAATACATACATATTTGGTACTAACCTTTCTTTTTTTTAATTCACCAAAATCACAGACTCAACTCTTTTATCCAAAAGGCACCTAGTTATTATTGTTTGTATCTATTTTTGTGGTAACTGCAGATAAATACATAACCTTTATGTTAACTTATCACTCTTCTAACTAAAGAAGAGAAATAACTGGTCATACCTTAACATTTCGGATATCCAAACTGGAACCAGCTTCCAAAAGTTTATCAACTGCATTCACATTTCCTGATGCAACTGCCCAGTGAAGTGGAGTATTCTGGTGGATTTTGTCAACCACACTGAGTGAAGGGTTGAATTTTAACAGAAATCCAGTGGGTTCTGGGCTGTTTCAAAATAATAAGATGCCAAGAGGTATTAATAGGAGTGATTATTTGAAGAGTAAATAAAAATAATAAACCTCTTAGGATTGTGAACCAATTAAGCAATCATGAAGTGTTGTGAACAGCAGGGAGGGTTTTTTTGTGCAGAGTTCTATTTTAGTTACAAGACTAATGTGAAAAAAAAAAGAAATACATCTATTAAGAACTTGTCTATGTTACAGTCAATGTAATTTTAACATCAATACAGTACAATAGCTGCTTCTGTGTTAAAATACTTTTATTTTCCTATTTATTAATTTTTTGAAACTGGATGTTTACTTTGGCTAATATTAAATGTTTAAAAGTTTATCTAATTATAGATGATATACATGTTTTTGAGGAAAAAAAAACAAGCTAACTTGACACACTATTCAATTATTAGCATATGGAGTCAAGCATACTGCAAGTGAAGAAAAGCTGCAGTATGCATCTCTACTTGTAAATGAAAAATGGAGTCCCAATGACTCTGCTAAATATATTTTGACAATAAGATGCTGGACATTGCACTATTGTCTAAACCTGCAACGTCATGCATGGTACACTTACATAGAATGATGGAGTTGTGACTGTTGTTGAAAGATTATACTACTCTAATAAAATAGGGTGAAACAGTGGGCTAGGGGAGATGGGGAAAGCCTTGAGTCTAAGGAACTGTATCATGAAAAATAAAAACGTAAAAAAAAGAAAATTCTGAACTAGAAAACAGAAGTCAAGAAACTATTTTTGCTTTATCTGCAACATACTCCTTTTCTTTATGTCTGCAAGATTATTTAATAAAATATTCTGTTTTAATTATTCTATCAAGCCCTTTAGAGACTATATTTTCCATCAGAATTAATGGGAAAAATGCTTTTAAACAAAATTCTACCCTCATCCCATCACTCCACACACAAAAAGGAAACAGCATCAGAACTAAGTTATCAGAAGAAACATGCTAAGTAAAAGCAAGTAGGAAGTTTAGGAGAACATTAGACACAAACTGACAAAGGAAAATTATAACACTTTCTCATATTTGCATAAATGAACACCAGGAATTGGACTACAACTATAATTGATTAAAGATACTTACAAAATAAGCACACAAGAAAATTTAAATATGTAAATGCCTTATGTGAAATACACTCTTCATAGAGCAGTTATATTCAACATATTCAGATCACTAAATAATGATGTCAGGCAGTCTTAAAATTATCATTTTCCTGAAAAGATTTATCACTTACATTTTAAATTATTTAAGTTACTATACATAAGTATATGCTAATGAATTGCTAACTGTTACATAAGGAAATTTTTTTAATCGGTATTCAAACTATTGGGTATCTTCATGGTACCCATTTAACTAAACCTACCTTACAAGTCTATATCACAATCATAAGGTGAAAAATATTATTTTCTTGAGAATGTACTATTATGTTACATAGACTGAAATACTTAAAATCATACATAGATAAGGTATTGTTGGAGTCAAGAATCAGAATGAGGCAATTCCACTGGACTCACCCAATTACTTTGTGAGCTGATAACATGAGAGGTGTCTGTCCATTGACATCTGTCATATTCACGCTCTATTCAAACAGAAGAATCAATTAGCCTAACTGTAAACACATACGTTTTCTTCTCCTGACAGAAATACATTCAATGCTACCAGTGTGTCTACCACAAGAGCTCACGTATTACGTGAATAAAAGAATGTTCTGCTTCAAATCAGAGTAAAAGTACAAGGATTTTAACAAGGTAATTTAAAGGGAAAATCCGAACATATGATTAAAGGATGTGAACATAAGGCAGCTAGATGCAACCATCAGATGTAAGAGATGCAGAGAGCATGCAAGACCTAGCTAGATCTTAACTGACACATTAACTCACACCATCTCTCCTTACACACAGCCAACCTGTTCTAGCTAACACTTCTAGTAGTAGTATACTCCCCTGCCTTCTGATAACAGTTGAGATTTTGGATTTACATTAAATTTCAAGTTGTAATACATGGATAGTTATTTTCTGTTTTTCTGAATTAGAGAAAAAAATCCTAATTCCGTTGGTTTTTCTTTTAGTAAAACAGATCTAGATTTGAGATACACTATAAAGGCTCAAACCAAGCCAAGGAAAAAGAATTTGAACTATCAAAGATTCTTCTGGCCCCTGGAAAAATAAAACTTGAAAAGGAGCCCAAAGAGAAACAGAAATGATTCTTCATTAAACATCATTCCAAGAGGTTATTATTACTCTACTACAATTGGCTAAGTCTGAAGGTACTTGTTTAATGAGAGCACTATCCTTCCAATAGCATTTGTGTAAATATGTTTCCACTGGGGCTGCAGGCATTCAACTAACATTATCAACTACTTTGTTTCCAGAAAGTCTATTCCAGGCAAGTATAGCTAACAGTGAAACTTCCACTGCCAATAACCTATAATTTAACCTGCGCCTCTTAAGGCAAGTCATTTTTTGTGAATTACTTTAGAGAACAATAAGAAGTACACATTCAAACTGACCTCTCATTCGGGCTCAAATAATGAGAGCAAATGATGGGTTAATTTGGTGATCTGACCACTATTTCTAGGAGTAAAGTATAGGTTTTGAAGGCATGTTTTTGAAAAACAATTACTAGCTTCATCAGAAAAACAAGTTACAGAAAAATTTATTATATGTTACTGAGCTAACTGACCTCTATTTCATCTCCAAAGAGCTGGAAAAGTAGTGTTTAAGAGCTAAACTTACTAAGGCTAATCTCTTAATATCTGGATACTCATTAACTTCCACTTTAAAAATGAAGGTAAATTACCACAAATAATCTTCCCAATCTCTCAGATTATAACAGCTGAGTATAAAACGCATTACAAAAGCATACCTGTCCCTTTGAGATGAGATAAGCTATAATTGGCATGTGTTGAAATAAAACTGCCAGATGAATACTGCTGAAGCCTTCTCCATCAATGAGAGCAGGATCTGCACCATGCTGAATTAATAATATAACCATAGGTAAATGTCCTTGTCTGTAAATAGAAGACAAAAATACACTATATTCTATATAGATGAAGAAAAATAAGCAGGGAAAAATTGATATCCCTATGACACAAGCAATTTTGATTAGATATAAAGAAAATTTCCAACAGTAGAATTTTTGAAGCATATCAGGCTGTCATACTTAGGTGCTCCAAACTTAAAACTATGAGGACAGTTCTTCTTGAAAGTCAAGTGATAAACCTGTTGACCTCCCAATGTACTTTAGCATTATACTGCTACCATGTGTTAATAACAAATTTATATGACTAATGCTAACAAGAAAAGCTTTAAAACCACTTAGATTTCACTGCTGCTATTCAAAAATCATGAGTCAGGTATGTGGAAGTACAATACTTACACAGTATGGATAATATTATTATGAACTATATATTTTAAACTTTAATACAGTAGGCGCTATCTTTCATTAGCAAAAAAGAAATTAACACTAGATTCTTCAAAATTTCTGGCTAAGATGCAAAGATTCAATTTCTTGCTTTACATAAGCAATTATCCATTTTACTTTAGGTTTATGTCAACTCTACAAACAATAGAATGGACCTAACATAAAAGGAGAAACTGCTTAGTATCCTGATTTATCAGCTTCAGCTTTAGAAAGCCAATTTATAAGAGAAAAGAGGACGGTGTACCAGCAATATAAATGTTCTATAAGGTGACCAACTAAAACATTCCTGTTAATCTTGCATTCACCTCCAATAAGAGTTAATCTATTAGACTCCAAAATATATGGAGGTGCACTTTACATTTACTAAAGAGGGATAAAATTTAAAATAAAACTACATAAGTCTCTAAATGGGTATGTATCATTCATTATTTCATCTAACCAAATGAAAGATTATAATTAGCAAAAATAATCTACAATACATATATTTGAGTTTAACAATCACAGTGGGACTCTAAATTAAACAAGTAAAAATATCCTTTCTATAACCTCCTTAAATTACAGGTTCTTTATAAATAAAATGGAATAAAAGGGGAAAAAAGATCTTCAAGTTGTCTATACTTGTCATTTCCAACATGATGGTCACTCACCCCAAGTGTCTATTTAGTCTTAAATCTTACCGGATGGCCCAGTGAAGAGGAGTTGAATTTAAATCTCCACCCAACTGATCTACAACAGCACCTCTTGAAATATAAAATCTGTTAAGAATGGATACAAAAGAAAGTAAGATTTGAAACTTCATACTGATAAAAAACAATCTTTTCTTTCTTCTAATATATAAAGAAACTGCATCAATATATATTTAATACATACATTGCTTCTAATATATAAAGAAGAAATTGTATCAACACTCCCTATTACACAGCAGTGTCAAAGCAATCTGTATGCAACATTCTTAGCATGTCAATAATTACTCTTGCTATACTAAAATAATTTATATTCCAAAGCTTTAGGATCACATATTCTCTTTTTTCTTTTTTTTAATTCATTTCATTTTATGACACCATTTCATAGGCTCTGGGATTCCCCCAACCCCTCCCCATGCCCTCCCCCCATGGTGGATTCCTTCACATTGTTGCAATATTACAGATCAAATGCAATCATGATTCTTTCTTCGCAAACATACAACAAGCATACAGTCCAGCAGCTTATTGTCCAGATAAATTCAACAGTTTCTTAGGGAGACCATCTCTGGTCTGAACGCAGAGCTGGCACAGTATGATCCCATCCAATGAAAAGCCAAAATATAACATCAACAATATTTCATTTCCTAATATAAATTATTCAGACACACATATATAAATGCATATTGTACTTGCCAATACAACAGTACAACAACGGGTAGGCATAATTTACAACATTATGGAGTTAATTGACATGGTATTGAGTGACGAATAAATCACATATTCTCTTAACATGGAAGAGGACAGCTGAAATGATGAAACTTACAATGATTAAAACATAGAAGTACCATGTAAGAATGAATTCTAAAAGTAGTATAAAATATTCACTTAAAATTAATTTTTAAAAGTTAGATATTTTGAATGATTTACTGTTTCTGGGGTACATATGTGATGCATATATTGAGTGAACCCATTGCTCAGTAAGATAGACTTTCAGGTCAGTGAAGTAGTGAAGCAAGTTGGTCCTCATTCCATATAAGTGGCCAGTTTGAGTTCTGGCTGCTCCACTGCCTATCCAGCTCCCTACTGATGGTCTAGAAAAGTATTAGTGGATAGCCCAAGGGGTAGTTCCCTGAACCCATGGGAGAGACCTGAAGGAAGCTTCTGGATCCCAGCTTCAGATCAGTCCAGCTCTAGCTGTTGTAGTCACTTGAGGAGTGAACCAGTGGATAGAAAATCTCTCTCTTTCTCTCCTTCTCTTTGTAACTTTGACTTTGAGGTTAAAAAAAAAAATCTTTCAAAACAAAAGAAATTTTTTTCGATGATTTACAGAAACTAATCTCATTAACTTCAAAATTCTTCATATATGCCTAAAACATATGCCAGTCTTTTTCTACAAAATTTCTCTTGCTTGTTTGTTAGAATAATTTAAACATTAGTAAATTTAAATGTTTTAAACTGCAAGAATTTAAAATATATCATTTCCTAATATAAATTATTCAGACACACACATACAAATGCATATTGTACTTGTCAATACAACAGTACAACAACGGGTAGGCAATAGTGCTTAATGAAGGGAAATCATATATGCCCACTAAAACTGTGCTCCCTGTTTAAATTTTTTTTTAAAGAATAAATTCCCTACTAATCTATTCTTCTTGGCATTACAAGGTAAGACATCTTAGTAGAACCCAATGTTTTACTATCCCAAGAAAATTGTTACATGTTTTCTTTTTTAAAAGTGTTCACTTTCACTTTCTGATTTTATTTTGGGTTTTATCTTCAATTTCTCTTTTAGGGCCAATGAGGGCCCTACCTTAGCGTTCCTTATGGTCATCCTTTACTCTTGCTATTGTGCATTGCACAGTTCCAGTCCATTTACAATAATGGTTCAATTCTCATACTTGTACCTAAAGAAAAGGACAGATGAAGGAATGCGCTAGAATTACAAGCACACGTAGATTTCATTTTACCTTACAAGATCCAGTCTGTTGTTAATAGCAGCCCAATGAAGGAGGGAAACATTCTCTTTGTCTGGTTGCCTGACGTCATATCCTGCATCTACTAACTCTTTACATCGTTCAAAAATCCCATACCTTAAATAAGAAAAAAAAAAGGGGGGGGGATTTGGAATTAATATTGTTACATACTTTCAAATTTCAAAATGTCTTCCTTTATCCATGTGTCTTCTTTACTCAAACTTTCTTTCTGCCAACACAGAGACAACAATGCAGCTATCCCTCATTATCCATGGGGGAACAGTTTCGATGCCCTCTAAAGGCACCAAAACCCACATATGTGTAACTGCCTTATGTAAAATGGCACAATATTGCCTATAACCTGCACATATCTTCCCACACACTATGGGACTGGACCTACAGAGGGGAGCCTAAGAATACAAACACATGCTCAAAGAGGACATAGTGCAAAGTTAAACAACAAAAGCAAACTTGGCTTACTGATGGATGAGATATTTATCTGGAACGGTTGAACTTGATTTTCTTAAATAAACTTTTACACTGATGTATGGCAGTTAAGTTTCATTTGATCTTCTACCATGTCAAAGGAACAGAGAGTGCTAATTCTTGTCTAAAGTTTTATCCCTGAATCAAACCAAGCCCACACAATAACCTCACAGTAAGAGAGAAAAACTAAAAGCAAACATGAAACAGGAAGCATTCAAGAACAAAAACTATGGACATGACATAAGAGGAGCAAAGAAAAAATGATTAGCTTTTCCCAAAGGAGATTAACTAGGACACACAGGCTATATTTTTTACCCGAAGATCAACAAAAAAAAAAAAAAAAGAAAAGCATTTCTAGCACAGGGAACAGCATACACAAAAATCAGAGACATGGAACTGCAGGAATATTCAGAGAAATATAAACAGGTTAGCTCTGCTAAAAGTACGAAGTCTAAGACCAGGACTGGTGAGAGACATGGCTGGAAGAGGCAGTCAAAGACCATATGACCTTCCACACCATCCTTTTAAATTCAGACTTTGTGTATATTCAATGGGAAACCAAGAGTCTTGAAGAGGAAACCACTCAGATCACATCAATAGCATTATGGAAACTCTAGAACAGGATGAGGACACAGAGAAACCAATTTGGAAATGACTGCAATAAACACAGGTAAGAGACAGTGAGAGCCTGAAGTAAGAGACAGGCAATAGGAATGAAAAGAGGATGGAATTCCTAATGTTGTAACAAATTTTTATGTCACTCATTAGCAATATTTCTAAGAGAAACACAAATTCTTAACAGGCCACTTAGCAGTTGTTTTGAAAATTACTTAAAAGGGTTTGAAAGTTTACACAGGTCCTAGATGGTCAAAAATCAATATCTATTTAAAGCAGTGGTTATCAGGGCCTCCAGAATTCATAAATACTTCAATAACTGTGAGTATAGTTTAAACTAACATATCTATCACACTAAAATATGCTAAAGCCCGATAGGTTAACTAATTAAACAGCTTTGCTTTTGACAGACTCAGGTCAAGTTAGTCATCAGTTCCTTTCACGCTGATTTCAAGAGGGACATGATTTATATTTGACAGGGAAACTCACAGGCAGGCTTTTTATTTGACTACTAAGAAGTGAGCCACTTAGTATGTGTAATAGACAAAATACTTCAAAATACATTCGATGGCAAGATGGAGTAAATGTTCATCATTAATGAAATCGTTAATGATGAAAATGTAAATAAATGTGATATCTACATATGAAAAACTTTAAGATTTATTTTATTTTTATTGGAAAATCAGACACACAGAGAAGATCATCTTCCATGTGCTGATTCAGTCCCCAAGTGGCCACAACGGCCGGGGCTGCACCGATCCAAAGCCAGGAGCCTGGAGTCTTTTCCAAATCTCTGACTGCTTTCCCAAGCCACAATCAGGGAGCTGGATGGGAAGCAGAGCTGCAGGGATTAGAACTCATGCCCATATAGGATCCTGGCACGTGCAAGGTGAAAACTTTAGCTGCTGGCTATCGCATCAGCCCCTACATATGAAAAATCTTTAGGAAAAGTTAAAATGTGACTCACTTTTAGTGCAAGCAAAATAACCCATTATGTTTTCAGTGCTCAGAAAACATACTTCCACCTTACTGTATTTTTTTCCATTGCATCCTGGACAAGCACACAGGAAAAAAATCAATTAAAAATAGCCATAAAATACGAATTCCACTATTTTGTTAGGTTATAGTACATTTTAAATTCAAATTCAGTGACTTCTTTTAGACTCATTTTAACCCATTCATTCAACAGAGATTTATCAGGTGTGTGTTTACAATATAGGAACTGTGCAAAACTCTGGAACAATAAACAGGAGGAAGATATGCTTACACACAAAAACACTTCTTATAATGTAATGGGAGAGCTTGGTACATAAACATGCTCTAATGCTGTATGACAAATAATTCCCAGCAAAGAATAAGTAAGACAAACCAGCTGAATGCTGTGAATTTAATATACATTATTATAATCCGACAAAACAAAGCATTTGAAAGACTTACTGAGTTGCTTTTACAATGTCACAGTTACTACAGTCCTCTATAAGAGGAAGAATCTCTCTCGCCTTCACAAGTTCTTTGTTTTCCTGCGTGCAGGTGCCATGTCGGCCAAATCCTGGAGGGTGGGAACTGTGGCTGTGATTCCTGCACTGAAGAGTAAGAGTAATATTCAATTACATAATGACAAATTTATTACTAGCAACTATATATAAACAATATACACATATACATATAGTCACATATAATAAGATTTTCTGGAATTTCAGAGGTATACCCTATAAAAGATTTTTCTCCTTTCTTCACTCTGTTCATGAGAAAGGATGCTTAAGATTAGAAAACCCCAAATTTCATAAAATACAGGTCATCTGAAGAGGAACAAGTAGACCTTGCTTCCTATAATGGTTACGGGAATTTAGCAACTGATATGGTAGGAAGCTTGCCAGGCCCCCGCTTTGGCGAACTTGCACAAACCCTAAGTCTACCTCCCAAGCTCTTGCACAGTCCCTTCCCTTGAATACTGGCCAAATCTGTAACCAACTTCTATTCAGTGGGACACAGGACAGATAACCAGAGAACTGCTCCCAGGATTACAATTATAGGACTGTGTCCTTTCAGGCTACAGCCATATCTTCCATGAAGTGAGGGGCCTGTGAGAGGGTTAAGGGTCAAGGGGCTGTAAGTAGGCTCTAGACAGCCAATGAGAACATGAAATCCTTGATCACACAGCCATCAAGAACTGAAATCTGCCAACAATCATAGCAGTTTGGAAGAGAACCCTGAGATGCAGACTGGAAACCATTCCACAGTGAGGTTAGCCTTGTGAGGCCCTTAGCAGAGAACATAGGTGGGCTCTGCCTGGACGCTTGACTAACAATAACCATAAAATAAGAAACACATTATTTTAAGCCACTCAATGTGTGGTAGGTTGTTACTTAGCAAATGAGTATCTAATATAGAAATGACTACAAGGTTCATGAGAGTAAAAACAGCTATAGCCAAGACCATCTCATTGGTTCAGCCATCACCTGTTACACTCAGATCACTCTTCAGAAGGAGCAGCAAACAGCAGGCTAAAACAATTTCTCTTTAAACAGAATATTTTCTCACATTTGCTAGATTCAAATTGATTGTTTCATACCTCAAGAACTGAGCTTAGATTTTAGTAAACCCAATGCAGGACTCTCCATTGTTACTCTGAAAGAATCCACACTCAAGTTACCTTAAGACGAACTGTCCATTGTGTGGATTTTGAAGATATTTGTTTCTTCTTTTCACCACCATGGACTTTTGGATTCATTATCAGTTCTAAGGCAGACAATCTGCCAATTTGGACTCTCCTCAACAACTCTGCTGAAACACTGGGTGGACAAGCAAGGACAAACAGAAAGCTGGAATCCTCAGCACAAATAATTACTTCAACCTCCTAGAAGACTCAGTTTTACTTTCAGTGTAAGATGTGGGATACTCAAAGTCTCTCAGTTTCCTAAAAGCATAAATGTATCACCTTATATCATATATATATATGTATATATATAAAACATGTATCATTTCTTTGAAAAAGGCCAGACTTTGTTATTTCACATGTTTATACACACACATATGTATAACAAAAGAAAAAGAATGCAAATGTTTATTTTCTAGCAACTGAAAACATTTACTGGACAGGTATTTGGCCTAGCAGTTAAGGTGTTGGGTTCTACACTGGAATGCCTGGATTCGCTTTCTGGACCTAGCTCCTGATACAAGGTTCCTGCCAATGCAGACCCTAGGAGAAAGTGATGACAGTTTATATTTGGGCTTCTGTTACCCACATAACATGTAAGATCTGCTTTGAGTGTCTGGTTCCTGGCTTTGGTCAGCTCAGTCCAGGTCTGGCTGTTCTTGGCACTTTAAGTGAACCAGCAGATGGGAACTCACTAAAATATATTGAAATGGCTGTTCTCATGAATATGACAATGTTCCAGAGTGTCCATCTTAATACTAGCATATTTTCCACTAATGGCTGTGGAAAATATACTAATATTAAGCTTTTTCTTACTAGGTTTACATAACTCAGAAGGACACATTCCCATATAGCTCTGATTAGGATGAGTCAGGTATGGAAGAAAGTGTTTCAGTCTTTTCTTTCTCCTGTATCTGCAGTGGAGGAGGGAGAGAGGGCTGCTCCTTGTTGTCAAACTACATCAGCACGCAGGGATGGGGGGCAGTCCTTTGATGCCTTAGAGACCCCAGTGTGGGGAAGAGTGTTTTGAGGATGTTTCTTGAGTGTTTTTGATAATTCTGAAAAGTTGGTTTCATTGTTCCAGGGTAAGACAATCTTTCTAAGGCTTATTGGTTGACTAGGTCCACCTTAGTGCACCCACAGATTCAGGAACATGCGCAAAGCTTGGATAGAGTTATCCAACCTGTTCTACTTTCCATCTGCTGACGAGGCAGGGGACATCCCCTGCTGGCTATCATGTCCTCCATGTGCATCTAGGCATGCTATAATGCACAGGCATCAGTAACTGAGGAGGCCCAGTTCCTATACATGTACTCTAAGGTTGGACAACATATCCTGTGATTTTCCCTGTTCAGGGTCTGAGTTCAGTGATCCAGTGGTTTTGGGAGTTCTGCAAGAAACCTCATTTTGGGTGACCTCAGACTTAAGTCTTATTTACACCAATCAGTGCAGGGTTAGATTTGGTCTATCGCCTGACCCAGCCAATGCACATAAGGGTGGATGCAGCTGCCTGGTCAGTTCTACCTTATGGGAACCAATGGGTGCTGCAGGCCAGCCTTGTCTTTTGTTGCAGTCTGGTCGACACACACACTAGTGGGTGTTGCAGCCTAGTCAGGGCAACCCCCAATAATCTCCACTAGGACTGACCCTAGCCCTGATTTTAGCACATGCCAGCTCTGTTGCACCCCAGCCTGACCCAGAACACATTCTATCTAGCTCTTGTGCACACCTAAGGATACTGCGGCTTAGCTGACCTGTCCCCATATCTGATCTTGACCTACGCTGATAGGTGTTGTTGCCTTGCCCAGCCTGGCCTAACCCAAGCCCTGGTTCTTGTACTCAGCAGCAGTAGGTAGGTACAGCCTACCAGGGGAGTGCCTTCAGTTCCCCTGCCAGGCCTGCTCCCAGCCCCCAAACTTGCACCAGCCATAGATCTTGTGACTGCTGGGAGTACTACATGACTCTCACCCAGTCCTGGCTCTTGCTAGCTGGCACTGTGGCTGAGCAGTACCCATTCTGGCTCTCATGCATGCTAAGGTGGGCAGCAGCCTAGCCTAACCTGGCCCACCCCCAGTCTCAGCCCTCACACTCATTTGTGGAAGCAGCCTCCCTGCAGACGAGTCCCACAGGCTACCCTACTAAGCCTGCTCCTAGCCCTTGGTCTTGTGCATGCCAATGGGTGTTTGGCTCAGTCTGAGATGGCCAGTCTCCAGTCTCAGCATTCACCAGTAGGTGCAGTAGGTGCTACAGCCTGGCCCAGCCCAGCTATCTACCAGTCTTGACTCTTGCAAGCAGATGCAGCAGCCTAGACCAGTCTGGCCCACTTCCAGCACAAGCCCTCATATGAACTGGCAGATGTTGTGGTCCAACAGGACCCAACCTGTACCCTGCCCTGACTCTCACTCCTGTCTGTGTGCTGTGGATGCAAAACCTATCCTGCCCCAGACCCAGTCCACAAATATGCCTACAGAGAAAGAGAGACAGAAAGATCTTCCTACAGCTGGCCACTCCCCAAATGGCCACAACAGCTGGAGCCGAGCCAATCTGAAGCCAGGAGCCAGCAGCCAGCAGCCAGCAGCTTCCTCTGGGTCTCCCATGTGGCACATGGCCCCAAGATTTTTGGCCATTCTCTACTGCTTTCCCAGGCCACAATGAGGAGCTGGAAGGGAAGTGGAGCTGCCAGGACAGGAACCCATTTACGATCCTGAATTTGCAGGGAGAGGATTAGCCAAATGAACCATTGTGACAGATCCAAAAATCTGTTTTCTGACAACCAAAAGCTGAGATAATTATCAGCAGACCTATACTACAAGATAAAGGAAGTTCTTCAGGCTAAAGGAAGGAAAGAGACTGAAATTTGGATTAAAACAAAAGGGCAAAGAGTCTAAAACCATGTGCGCTAACTATATGTTCCATGTGTTCTCACCATATGTTCCAACATATGTGTACATGTAACACATTTTGCATTTTTTAAATTTCTCCAAAACAGCAGAGAAATGAAAGAACAATGTCAGAGATGTAAGAGATGCTGTAACAGTATTTGAATGTGCTTCAGTCAAAGGTGCATACTGTTAAGGCATCTCTAAACAAAGATGACACAGAGGGCTATGTATTAAGCCAACTATAAATAAAAATATATATCTGTAAAGATTTATTTATTTTTATTGGAAAGGCAGATACATAGAGAGGAGGAGAGACAAAGAGGAAGATCTTCGTCCGATGATTCACTCCCCAAGTGGCCAGAGCAGCAAGAGCTGAGTTTGATCCAGAGTCCGGAGCTGCTTCCAGGTCTCCCACATGGGTGCAGGATCCCAGGGTTCTGGGCCTTTGCCAATTGCTTTCCCAGGCCACAATCTGGGAGGTGGACAGGAAACAGGATTGCTGGAACATGAACTGGCACCCACATGGGATGCCAGTGCATAAAAGGTGATGACCACACCAGGCCGTAGAGAAAATATTTTTAAAGTAATAAGCACAAAAGACAAGAAATGCCTACAAAGAATGGAGAAGAAAAAGAAAGCACTGCAACACTGTAATAATTATTTTAAACACAAATGGCTTTAAAAATCCCAACTAAAGTCAGAGATTGTTGGACTACATGAAAAAACAAGCTATATGCTTTGTTACTATATGCTTAGGCAACTTCCCTAAACATAAAAATACATACAGCTTAAAATAACAATAAAATGACAGGCCACAAAGAAACGCTAAGAATAAGAAATGCAGTGACTAATTAATATAAGACAAAGTAGACATTAGCACAAGAAACACTGCCAGGGAAAAAGAAGAACATTTCATAGTATTAGAAATGCTGATTCAGAAAGAAGACCTAATAATGTTAAACTTGTATAAACTCAAAGGAGCTCTTAAATTCATGAAGCCAAAGTGATGAAAATGGAAAGAAAATGCAAAGATTCACAATGACTG